ATATCGAAGCCGATAGCGACAAATATGTTTCCAGTTTGAGTGTTTCCTGAGCCTTCTATATCATCCTTAGCGATGACGGAGTCCCAATACGTGCAATCAAGCGTACAAGGACCCATAGTAATTGTCGAAGGAGCGCTCTCTCGCTGACGTCGTTTGCTCACAATGCTTCAATACCTCCGGGTGTCCCAGACAAGGCAATCCACAAGATCACAGTTGACACTTCAAAAACGAGGGCTGACAAGGTGTAGCATATCCTAGAGACTCATCGGTCAACTTCATGCTAGACAGCAAGAACGAGAAGAGAGTTGAGGGTATCCCAATGTTTAAATACAGGTAAGTTAAATATAGGGCCAACCTACTAAGTGTAAATTTCGTATGCTGTACTGTGTTGTATGCGGGACGGCGCGGGACGCCTACATGTTCTCAATGATGTTGTTTCCTTGCAGCCGACTTATCAAGAGGCGATTAGGAGCGGCGTCTCCTAGGGGTGAGGAGACGGGCAACTTCCAACACTCGGAAAGTAGTCACCAATCAAACAAGACGAGCATCATCAACCGTCTCTTTCCTCCCAGGATCGATTCCTGACTCAGATCTGTCCTGCTTCTGGCAAGTTGCCAAGAACAACGCGAGGGAGGCAACCCAACAGAACGCTAGGCAACAAGGCCAAGAACCCAGGATGCGATCAACAATACTCCGTGTTGCACGGGCTAAGCGGACGTCGGCCAAGTCCTTGCCAGAGAAAGTGGGTAGGCACACCAAGAGAGTCGACACAGCGTTGCCAGGCAAATACACTCGACTGCTGTACGATCACCTGTCACGGAAGGAGGCCGGCGTGCTCGCCCAGCTCAGGACAGGCATGGCCAAGCTCAACACATACCTTCACCGCATCAGAGCGGCATCGTCAGACCAGTGCGCGTGCGGACAAGCAAGAGAGACAGTCGAACACTTCTTATTTCGATGCAGGCAATGGAACGAACACCGCGCAGAGATGCTCCAATGCACAGATATCCACAGGAGCAACATCTCCTATCTGAGAGGAAACTCACCATCGGATGACAAAAACTGGTCACCGAAGATGCAAGCAGTACGGGCAACGGTACGGTTCACCATTGCTACAGGCCGTCTAAACGCAGACCAGCCACAGAACGAAACAGCCTGAATCTATCATCACCAACTCATCACCATCAACTCATTACCACCAACCCAACCGACACCACCCACGCGCAGTAAGCACGCTTCAACCGCCAAGGATAGGACGTTGAACACTTGGAGACTGAACTTCAAGCCGGCTTACTCATGTTATCACTAACCCACGACCACCAGCAGAGAAAATGGCAGAAGAAGTCAGAACAGAAGCCAGAAAAGGAGAAGGTACGGGCTATGGGAGACCTGGATCCATTTTAAGAACTGTATTAGTAGATGTGCATAGTTACCCTATCGGATTAAGCCCGCCGGGCGGAATAAATTGTGTGTGTGCGTATTGCAGTTCAACACCATACCCAAGACTGCCTATCAATCCCGTGATAAACACAAACGATTCTGCACCGACGCGTAAGCGCTAATCGTGTAAGCGGCTGTTCTCGGAACACCTTAGATCTGAGTTCTGAAAAATCAGGCACTAAGAGCAGCGGCGAGGCAGCTAGGTAACAATGAGAGCTCATCTAGGGTATAGGGAATAGCGAGGCTAATGAGCTAGAATCTGAGTGCTGCTCATAGGGGATCGGCGACTTGCGGTTCAACAGTCTTGGATAGAAATACAGTAGCCTAGCCAATCCTCAGTCATTGCATCTCTGGAGCCAACTGAACCGATGCCACCTTTCCCAAAAAAGCCGCTCTTCCTACCTTCCGCTCTGTTCTCCAGCCCACCCGGCTGTCCACTCTACTGTTCAAACACGTAAACATCTCACTTAACCGCCCATTTTCAACCCAGATCTCGTACTTCTCTGGTTCAATCAACCTTGTGACGGCGCCTGCCGTCGGAGTGCACGTGGCGGCACCAGCCACTGAGTGCAGCGCCCCACCTGCTCTGGCATTTGAGCATCGCGAGAGCTCTTCCAGCTTCTCTTCTTTTCTCCCCATCTTGTAGTTAGCAGAATTGAGTGGGCATTTGCAGTGCTCCCGTGCCTCACCTATATGCTACTCGTCTCTCACAACCCTCATCAACTGCTCGGTCCTATAAAATCGCCCAGGGCCGAGGTAGAAGGTCGCCGGAAACAGCAGCTGCGTCTGGATGTGACAGTGGCGCCCTCCATGCTGCTACTTTCAGATTACTTGACGTGGCGTGCGCCCATTGACGAGCCGATGAGGCGATCATTTGCCTCAGTCGGCTCCCAAGCCCTTGCTTGTTCCAGAGCGTAAGATCTTCCTAACCTCCTCCTATAGGTGATTCCGCAGGTAATTCTGCCGCTGATCCTGCAGTTGATCCTGCAGGTAATCCTGCAGTCGCAAGATTCCACATCAACAGTTTTGGTTGTTAGAATAACCAACGTCATTTGTGGTGTTACTGTTGAGAAAATGTGAGCAATTGTTTTCCAGATTTTGCAGCTATGTTGCGTCAGTCTGCCCCTTGGCAACGAGCTGCTCGAGTTGAGATGACTGGGGTCCTCCATCATCTCAGCCATCGCCATTGTCCTTCGGTCACTGCCGTTGGCAGATGCCCTGCTCCAGCTATCTTCCTCTCTGGCTATTTTTGGCATACATCGGCAGATCTCTCATCGGGAGCTTTCAAGTGGCCGAGATCAACTGGTGGACAGGGGTTATCTGGGCATCCAGCCTCGGTCATGTTTCGTCTCAGACAGCTTGGAGGCCCAGGCACATTCTCACCAGCATTCCGAGGCACATCCTGTATGAAAACAGGTTTTCCCTGTATGAAAACTGCCTACGACGTTGCACATGGAATGATAATCTCAAGAAGTACGTTCTCCTCAAGGAACCGGATTAAACTCTTCACTGGCATTAAAGGACGTCGGGCTCTGGGAGGATGGGGATGTAGAGTCCGGTTCCTGTTCGTGTGGGCGGGGTGACGGGGCCTGACAGAGTCTTGGTTGAAGAAAGGTGCCTGAAAGGCGACAGATGACGCATTTGGCTGTGCCGGCTTATGGCGGATGAATTGTATAAGCAGGCCTAACATCTGTCTCCATTCTCGTCCGTTTACTGAATGCCGAGCGGTTCACCTAAGCGCCAGTTTATGGAGGGCCTTGTGAGAATTCGTGGGAGTGATACCGGCGTAGCTTTCGCCCTTACCTCAAGGTAGCGCTGCCGTGACGCAGCGCGCTTCCTGTCGTAGGCGGGGCAATTGCGCGGTTATATCGCTTTAACGAATTACCGGACACGGCGGGGACTGGCATACACACACACACACACACACACACACACACACACACACACACATTTTATTCCTCCCGGCGGGCTTAACCCGAAAGGGCAACTAACGTTATGCACCTCTACTAATACAGTTTTAAAATGGATCTGGTCTCCCAAAGCCCGTACCTTCTCCTTTTTGGCTTCTGTCCTGACTTCTTCTGCCATTTTCTTTGCTGGTGGTCGTGGGTTAGTGATAACATGAGTAAGCCGGCTTGAAGTCCAGTCTCCAAGTGTTCAACGTCCTGTCCTCGGCGGTTGAAGCGTGCTTACTCGGCGTAGCACGAGATGGGTAGTGGTACGTTAGTGGTGACGGGTTTATACTGTCCCGTTCTGTGGTTGGTCTGCGTCCAGACGGCCTGTAGCCATTACGAACCGTATAGTTGCCCGCACCGCTTGGATATCCGGGGACCAGTTCTTGTCATCCGACGGCGACTTTCCTCCTAGGAAGAAGGAGAGGTTGCCCCTGTGGATATCTGTGCATTGAAGCATCTCTTCGCGGTATTCCGTCCATTGCCTGCATCGAAACATGAAGCGGTCCACAGTCTCACTCGCTTTTCCGCACGCATACTGGTCTGTCAATGCCGCTCGGGTGCGATGGAGGTATGAGTTAAGTTTGGCCATGCCCGAGGAACAGTACCTAGCAAAAGAAGAGGTGGGCATTCGTCCGAAATGCCAACCTATAAACGAAATGCCCTCTCCCCATCCCACGTTCTCTGTGGCGCTAGGTCTGAACGTGCGCTCATTCTTCCCTCCACCGCCTCCACCCAGGGGGTTTGGCCTGTACCAGGGCTGGCCGAGGGTCACCGAAGCCCACGCCGGGCCTAGCCCATTACACCTCAAGTCGAGGCAGCGCGGAGGCAGCGCACGCAGCTGTATTCAAGGACTGGACTAAGGCCTGGATCTAACGACATTGGGTTCAGCATCGATTTTACAGGGACTGTTTATGTTTATATTTTGAAAACGCAACTTCGAGGAATATTCCAAATGAAGCTAAGATGATAAAGGCCTTTATGAAGATTCTTTTGAACATTGTAGAGGTATAATATTGTTCGATGGAAGGAATGAGCCAAAGCCTCAAGAAATACCTATTTGACCATGCACAATGCATCCCCAACCTCGGGTTTCTGACATCTCACTTTTTATTTATAACATCCCGAATCCTCATTTAGAATCACGTACCTGTGAACAACGCCACACCACCGCTCACACACGCTGTCGATTGCAGCACCCAACACACTGCAAAAATAGCATACGGTTAATGAATTTTACAGTAGCAATCTGACATTGAGGTTATTCATTGACACCTTTTCTGAGAAGACCATGGTCTTTCGCTGTTCGATGGCACCAAGAGGACTCAAATTGCCTGAGCTATCAAGGTAAAACAGGCTTCTTTGTACCCATGGTGCAAGGCAGACACGTTCACCAGTTCAACTGTCTCCCTCGGGCCGGGCACATGCAGACATTCGTGGCCCTGCAGACAGCCATGTCCCCCTTGGAGCTGCCCGGTGGTTGAGGGGATTGGCTGTGATGTCGAACCCCACAATGATGCAGATCGCTGCTCTAGGCCCACCTACCCAATCGGGAATTGAGGAGACCACACATCTCGGTGCTTGCCTATTCCTCCACCGGGGTTACAAATGTGACAGACCAGGGTATGCGCCAGGGTACTGCCAAGGTGCTAGCCAGGGCAGGTAAGCCATCCACGTATTCCGCTACTAAGTCACTTTTCTAGCAATTTCTATAGGAAGATACCTGCAGTACACATCCTACGATGGCTTCCACAACTTCACTGCACCTTGGACTGCACTGCAATGGCCACTGGCACCCCTGTGCCGGGACCGACATCCTCTCGAGGGCTCTCTATCGCTGAGCTGATCCATCCAGCTACTCCACGGCCTAAACGGACTAAGGCCTTTGAACTGGCCCGCGACGACCGCATCCGTATCCGGGCCCTACACGACTTCGGCCACACATACCGGGAGATCGCTTCAAAGACCCAGTATACGGTCCGGCAAATCGAGTGGGCTTGCAAAGGCCCAGTAACCCCCCAGAAAAAGAAGCCAAGGAAAGGGGCCACTCGAACCCCGCAACGGGAGCAGTTACGGCAATGGTTGGAGACTGGCCATAACCGCTACATCCCATTGTACCAGCTCCCTGCCCGGATGCCTCCTCCGCTCCAAGGCTACGGTGAAACGGCTCTTACACGCGCAATCCACGACCTCGGGTGGCTTCCTTTATTCGGCCTAAGAAGATCCACCTTACCGAGGAAGATCTACACCGTCGCATTCAGTGGTGCCAGGAACAGTTACGGCTACGGCCACGACCCGAAGACTGGGAGGATGTGCTCTTTTCTGATGAGACCTGGGCAGTTAACAACCCGATGTGGAAGAAACGAGTCCTTATGGACAAGACCGATGATCTGAGCAAATATGCCTTGAAGAAAAGGAAGCCGAAAGGCTGGATGTTCTGGGGTTCGTTGCCGGCCGCCGGAGAGGACCGTTCTTTGTATGGGAAAAGGAGTATGGAGGTATCTGTGCCGACAACTATATCCAATATATCCTCCCATTGGTTGACCGCTTCAACCAGGAACAGCGCATTGTCTTCCAACAAGATAATGCTTCGGCACACAGAGCACGGAAAAGCAAGGCTAGACTCCAAGAACTGGGTATCGAGGTCCTGCGATGGCCGCCTAAAAGCCCAGATCTTGCACCTACAGAGAACGTATGGCCCTGGATAAAAGATTGGATGGAGTGCTTGCCGGAGGAAGATATTCAGGAACTTAATCCTCTGCAATTAAGAGGGCTTTTGATAGAGGGTTGGTCGGCTGTGCCAGAGGATTGGCTTCTTCGACCGGCACATACGATGCCCAGGAGGCTGCAGATGCGCCTGGAAAACGGAGGGCGGACAATATATTACTGATCTTCTTACCTAGTTGGTTCAATATATTGTGAATCCTTGGCATGCACCCACTGGCTGGCATCTTGGCAGATACCCCTGGCCATACCCTGGTCTGTCACATTTGTAACCCTGGTGGAGGAATACAACGGTGTCGAAAGATGGTTGAAGACGAGTGCGGAACTTGTCGCTATGGTTGGCGCAACTGTGCGTGAGGCTGGATACCTGCGGTTAGGATCTCAAATTAGCACTTTTAGATGTTCTTCAGCAATGAGCATGCGTTATGAAGCATTAGAAGTTTGAGCCGAGGAGGTTTGAGAGGAACCTTGGGACGGTTGAGCGCCCTTTCCTTCGTCGCTGAGAGCCGCAAAGACGACCAGTTCGGCAGACAGGTCCTCGTCACGGCCGCGCATCGCGCAGATGAGTTCGTCGTCGGGTCTGGCGGCGACGGCCTCCCGGGCGGACACACCTCCGCGATGTGCATCGCCAGCACCTGCTCGGCGGAGGGCAGAATCGCGCGGTCGACCAACCGCTGGGAGGGCCGTAAGGCCCCTTCCTTCACATACTGGATGGTGGGTAAACCGTGGCAACGACCCGTTCGATACTGGAGATTCTAGCTCTCCCTCTCTACCTCTTTCATAACTCTATCATAGAAGCCCAACTTCGCGACAAAGGGAGACCGAAGACGTCGTGTCGACTGCCTGAGACTTCGAGTCTGCCTGGCCGGGGGCTGAAAAGTTTCAGTGGGCAATTTGTGGTTCCAGCGTAAATGGGACTGTCCACGTATGCCTCGCCATGTCTGTCTGACCAAGCTGCCGGTGCATTGCCTCGGCGGCCCGCCAGGGGACTTGCATTTCTTCTTTGGCCCACGTCGCGGTTAACATGCAAGGCACTACCAGCATGTCCCAGCTCTCGGACCATCTCCAACAATAACCAGCAGCTCTCGACAGAGGGACATTCTCGATAACGAAGAACACACAGAGTCTGGGAATAAAGATGGGGAGGGAGAAGGGGTGGGGAAGACGGATGCTGGTGCTGCTGGTGGTGAGTAACATCGAGAGCGAGAGGAGGGAGCTGAGGTGGTAATACGTTGCCAACCACACGGTTACGGTCGTAGCCACCGAAGAGGAGCGAGCCAGAGACTCTGGCAAAGTTGGAGGCTGAACCGTAGTGAAGGCCAAAGGGGCTAGAGGCAGTACCATCATCTCCAGCTTTACAGCGCTCAAGGAGCGTTGACGCTTGGCCTATTCTTTACGCCGCTAGCGAAGACTTGTTGAGGGTCGGGTGAGCCAACGCTAAGACAACCTGTGAAGACGGGATATAAGAAGCCTCCAGGGTAGACGAACATCTGGGACTGGGACTCGATTAGGGCGAGGGAGTGGTTTTGCACGATGCGGCCCGAGTCCAGGTCGACTGTGTCGATATACATGTTGGCGCTCCCGAGTGCTTTGAACCAGCGTTCAACTCTTGCGTTGGTGGTTTGTAGTCAATTCGCTGGGCGGGGCCCCCTGACCTAGATGCCGCCACTGCCTGGTCCTTGAGGTAGGAGCCCGATGCGCAGTGAGGTACTGGGTTGTTTAGGGCGCAGTGATCAGACGTGGTGAAAAACGTCTGCCACATTCGACCCGGTAACAGAGCGATCTTGGGTTGGCCGCCAATAGAGACCTCGACGGCGTTCCATGGTCCGTCCGGGCCAAACGCCTCGCGGGCCCAGACTGCCTGTCTCGGCTCGGCGGCGGCGAAGGCGAGTGGAAGGAGAGAGAAGCCCACGGCAACGAGGATGAGGGAACTCGAAGAAGGTATCATGATGGCCTGCTAAGAGGACATAGAAAAGATGTGGGTGAGAAAAACAGAGAAGAGCGAGACAGAGAAGAGGGGAACAGAGAAGAGACATCAGAGGAGAGGGAAACAGGGAAACTCGACGGGCGAGGCAGAGGGAACCCCTCCAAGAGAGGAAAGCACTCAGTCTCGCACATTCTGATGCTGGTGATGACCCTTGGCTAAGGTGCGCCAACGCAGTTCAAGTGCTCGCCTCGGTTGCTGTCAGTTGGTTCCAGAGTTGGTTTGCGTACCAGACAGCGACTACAACAAATGTCGCCAATGCAGACAAGGCACAGACGAGCGATAACTGCACAAGTGGAATCATTGGGATGTCCTAGGCGCATTTGAGCGGCCCAAATTCAGGCTTGCAAAAAGTTGCATTCAGCACAGTGCCAGAACGCGGCGCTGGCCGCCTCATTTGATTGACTATCTCCTAATATTGGCAAAGACTCGTCGCTGCCGCCTAGCCGCCCGCTGTTGGCGCCAGCCCCCCTGGACTGGTCCAGTCCAGTTCGGACCGGCCCAACGGCCGTTCTATTAAATAAAGTAGACGAGGGCCCTTGCGTTTCGAAGAGCTGGCCCCCAAACCCGGCCGGGAAGCGTCGACTTGCTGACGGCTCAATCGAGATTCATCGACGCTCTCACAAACTGACATGTTCACACTTCACTTCACATTCCCACCCCGCCGGCCGTGTCTTTGCTACCACTTTCTTAGGGAGAGCTTTTTCTCCATGAGCTACCTTACTTGCCACCTCGATCTCTGCCTTCGGGGAAATTTGGCTTCGGGGTACGACACCGCTAACCTCAAATATGTTTATGTTTTCAGCCGGCGCTGCGCTTTTTTGCTCCGCGCTCGCGCAGTACCTCACCACGCGGGACGTTGAACTTGCATCTGAGATTCTCTGCTGGGTCATCCTACCCGCTCTTATTAAGCTAAAGAACCGCTATGGGAGTACTGGAACCACGAGCAACACGCTCCTCGTCAAAACCCCTAGCGCCGTAGTCTCGACGAGGGCCTGGTTGTTTGCCCTGGGACTAGCAGCCGCTTGCTGGTACCGCGCCGAGGAACATATTGTCATCCTTTTTGTAAGCCCCCATCGCCGTTTGGAGGGCAAGAAGATCATGAATGGATCAGTGATACTAATATTTACATTGGCTGCCAGCCGGCGTTAACGCCCCTACTTCTTCTCTCCGGTGTCGTTCCCGCCGCCTCCCTCACGACCGACTCCAAACTCTTCTGGCCGCCGGTGACGGCTCCATGGAGTTCAGGTCTCATCGCCGTCTTTTCCTGTCTCGTCCTAGTGAGCTCCAGCGGCACTAGGCTCCCGTCCCTGGCCGTATGCGTTGTTGTGGTTGCTCTCCTTTATGGAGGCTACCTCTCCATTTCCAGGCCCGCGGCCGTTGTGGATCGCGACGCTGGAGACCATGGCGGCCAGGAGAGACCTGACGATGCGGCAGAGGGCGCTCAAGTAGAAGACGTGGCAATGCCGTTGGCGTTCCGCATCCTGCCACTCTTGACCGTTGTGGCGTGCGCGCGGATGTTGACTTCCAAGGAGTTGAAGGTGGCCCTTGTCAAGACGGTCGTGGCTGGATTCGCCAAAGCCCTGAATTGGTTTTTTACCTTGAAGACTGTACGTCTCTTCCCTCGCGACTCAGCGCTTTCGTGAAGCTGTACGCTGATTGATCTGTTTAGATTCGACAATCATCATGGTGCTCTGCCAGCACCATAGGCACCTTCGCTATCACTTCGGCCCGCACACCTTCATTAGGAGACCGGTCGTTCTACCTGCACGCCGCATTTAACCTCGTCACCTCTCTTCTCGCTCTTGGCCAAACCATCCACATGATTCCAAAGGGTGCTGGGCCAAGGTCACGACTATGGGCGCTGGGTGTCCTCCCCCTGAAGCCCTTGCTCGAAAATATGTACCGCATCAACGCGTCAACGATGCTCGGCCCACGAGACGAATATCCCGTCGAAGTCCTTGCTCGCACTGCCGAGGCAAAGTTTGACGCCATGTTGGCGCGGCAGTCTCGCACCTACTCCGCTGCCGTGTTGGAGTACCGGCGGCGATACAACATGGAGCCGCCCCCTGGTTTTGAAGCGTGGTACAGCTACGCGGTGGCTCGTGCGTCGCCAATAATTGACGAGTTCGACATCATACACGAGGCCATCGCACCGTTTTGGAAGATGAGCGGGAAGAAGGTCCAGGAGGTCATGGGGGAAGCCAGTGGTGCGGCTGGCGCAGATTTGTGGTGGTGTATGTTCAAAGGTCAAACAGGGGAGACAAGCTGCAACCACCCGCACCGGGGTGGTACCCATATACAGGAGACGTTTGGGAGGTGGCTTGGGGGGTTGGCGGGAAAAATTCCGGATGTGGAATTCCTGGTCAACCACCTTGACGAGCCGCGGGTGCTGCTCCCGGGGCCAGAGACGGCGAATGACCAGCGGATTCGACTGACGAACATATCTCGAAGACCCATCTGGGATACGCTGACCAGAAGCTGCTCCCGAAAAGTCACTAGCGCGAGCTCAGGAATACAGGGGGCGAGCGTTGACATCAACACGCATGGTCTACCGTTTGTAACGGACACAGGCGCGGACAAAGACCTTTGCCAACACCCCGAGTACAGAGACATGCACGGTATGGCGATGAGCCCCTGCTCGTTTATTCTGGTGGACGGACGGGTGCCGGTGCTAACGACTGGAACGCTGACAACCGGGGGCGACGTGCTGTTCCCGAGTCCAGTGTACGGGGAGTACGGGGACGAGGGGTTTGTGTACAACGATACGCGGGACGTGGAGTGGGCCCAGAAGCGAAACAATTTGTATTGGGCTGGGTCCAGCACGGGGGCATATGCCGGTGACGATGGATGGAAGAGGTATCACCGGCATAGGTTCGTCGCGTTGGCGCAGGGCCTGGAGACAGGGAGGGAACACTGGTACCTCCGTCGTGGGCGAGACGGCCTCTTCCACCAGGTTGCCTCGTCCTCTCTCAACCGCGACCTCTTCGACGTGGCATTTACCGCCATCATTCAATGCCGCCACGACTTGTGCGAGTCTCAGCGTGAATATTTCGATGTGCGGCCCAGGGCGGATAAGGATGCGGCCCTAGGGTCGAAGCTAGTATTCGATATAGATGGCAACGGCATCAGCGGGCGTTTCGTCAAACTGCTGACGTCCCACTCTGCCGTCTTGAAGCAGACGCTGCTTCGCGAGTGGCATGACGAGCGGCTCGCCGCGTGGGTGCATTACCTGCCCGTGAGCCAGGGTCTAGGTGAGCTCCCGGAACTGGTGAGTTGGCTGACAGGAACGGAAGAAGGGAGAAGAAGAGCGAGGTTAGTGGCGGAACGGGGGAGGGAGTGGGCCATGAGGGCAATGAGGCATGAGGATAGGGGGCTGTATGTGTATAGGCTGATGTTGGAGCTGGCAAGGATACAGGACCCAGAAAGACAAGCCACGTGAGAGTAATCGACCTAGAAATGACTGAGATCTCGTCGACATCGCCTAGAGCGGCGGGAATTTGTACGCTTGATACCTGTGCTGAGATGAGTAGGTCTTTCTTTTTATAAGTGGCTAGATCTTCAAAAGTTGCAAGTACGGCAGGACGAGAGCAACCTGGCCAACATTCGGATGACCATGGACAGGCTGTTTGAGCGATGCCTGGGATTCTGATCCGCAGGCTGTCGTGGACACATTTGAGGTCTTTTTTGAAGGGCCCGACGAGTGCAAGGTTAGCTCATTCTGTTTCCTTTTGGTAATGGTTTTGATGGACCCTGTCTCTTGGAACAATAAGGTAGGTATCCTTAACGTATCTCGGCAGCCGTTTAGAATCTAGAGCTTCGCGATGGCAAGGAGGCGGGATGATTTGACTCTATCTGTTACCTGCTGGCTATATTCGCCATGGTTGTCGTGATACAGTGGTTCTCGCAAGAATCTCTCCGTGCACCCCTGACCGCCGTCTTCTTCGCGTTTGCCGGTGCCATCGGCTGGCGGACCATGTTTCCGGCCATCAAACCCATGCACCCGTCATTCAAACTGTACATGGAGCTGATGTTCAAGTCCAGACGATACAGAAGGTCATGGCGCTTCAGACGCAGGGCAACTTCAGCGAGGCCGAGAAGTACTCTACCAAAGCCCTCGACTACACAAAGCAGCACTTCCCGCCGACTCATCCGCTGTGTTGCAATGCGTACCGCAACTCGGCATAGTGACGGTCAAATACAAGGGACCCCAAGCCGCCGTGCCCATTTTTTATGTATTTCTTTCTTTTCTTTTCTTTTCTTTTTTTTTTTTCGAGAGCCATGGGAACGCAGTCAAGGCATACAAAAACAATCATCCTTCTCTCATCGGCTCAGCGTTGAACACGGCACGGAGTCTTGCCGATTGCTTCCTCATCAAAGAGGCCACCGTCATTGCGAGGGATGCGCTTCGAATGGTGCTCTGTCTGGACAGCCGCGGCCAGGGGCGTGACCATGGTACGGTCACCGTAGAAGAGCTGGCCATCAACCTGTTTTCTGACAATGGGAGCATCGAAGATGGATTGCAGGCAGCCAGGTCGACTGCCAAAGCGCTGGAGGAGATGCTGGAAAATGACCGGGATGCGAGCGGGAAGGGAGGCGGGGGCCCAAGTGCGCGGGTTCTCCTGAAATGCAGGCAGTAAGCAAAACAAAACGTGCCCAGACAGCCAACCCAAATCGCATAAAATCAAATCAGAAAGGAAGAGAAAGAAAACAGCTCTCATCAGTAAATCATCCTCTCACCAAAAGTCAACTTGCTCATCCTCATAGGCGTGAATGACCAGCGTCGAGCCGTGTACACTATTGGCGTCGCTAAGCCGGTCTGAGTCTATGCCGTAGCCACCGTGGCTATATGGCTCCCGGGCGTTGCTGAGGGGTTCAAAGAGCATGGGCCGCCCGCTTAAGCTGTGGGCTAATCCCATGGGAGCTGCTTCGATGGTTCAACGCTTTTTGCTCGGAGCGTACAGCAACTATTCAAGTCAACGGACATTCTTCTGAGGTTCGAAGCCTACCCCAGGCTAGTCTACCTCAAGGTTCTCCCTTATAGTAGAGTTGCTGCAATGCGTTCGGGCGAGCAAGGATAGCCAGGTGATGGTAGAACCTGCCTGTAGTCGGAGACTTGTCGGATGCTTGAGAATACCAATGGCGGCTGACGGCGGTCCAGACTTCAAGGTTATCGTACAAGAAGGAGGATTAGCATGTCCTACGCGGTGGGGTGCCCAGCTGACCGACAACTAGTACCTGATCGTCAAGGTTTCGCAGCGGTAAACAGGGGCCAGCGCAATGTCCATATTGCGTAGGCCAACGTCGCCTTGCGGCAAGCCCAGACTAGGGAACCGTCTGCGTAGCGGCAAGTGACAGGCTCAACAGGATCTGGTCCGGGGGCAAGCAAACCAGTGGTCGAGGTACCTCGAGGTACGAGCGGATACTGTTGGATATCAGAGAGCACACCGAGAGACGAGCGTATATCTTCACACCCTTTCCACAGCATACGCTTCGCCACTCAAATCTCCTCCCTGATAGCTCGGAGTTTTTCGGCCCTGTGTCTGCCCATGCAGGAGCGCCGGGACACTCCTCAAGCCTCGCGGAGTCGGCGATGTGAACTGGCATCTGGGAGGATGACCAGTACCGGGACACGCAGAATACAGGCGCTTGCAGCGGAACTGAGCCGAGAAGTCAGCTGTTGGTGTTGGTCGTAGTAGGGAGCAAGAGGTAAGAGCGCTCTGTTGTCCCCCGACCGTACGCTGCTTCTCCCTCATGCTCTCTTCTAAAGATAGATAGCTATAAATAGATAACGTTATCCAAAAATGTCAAGAGTACCAGTTGAACAGTCTGAAGTATCTTAACAAAGCCCTCGAATCAGTGGAGGTTCTCTACCCAAGCAAGCTACACTGTATGTGCTATCCTCTCTGTTTTGTCCCTCCAGGCTTCTAAAAGTTCAAGGCTCATAATCAGAAAATAGAAGAGAGATAGGTGCAGATCCTTGCCACAATGTGTTAAATTCGAACTGAAGGATCAAGTTTTGGAGTCAAAAAAAGGATGGGTTTACACAGATCCACCGGCGATCATGAGGGAGAAAACGACAAGGAAGCGATTTGCAGATGGACCGGTGGGATTGGGCACGGCTCAGCCAGAGGAGATAGGAGAAGCCGCCGAATCGAAGCGAGGGAGGGGCGATGAGTTCAGAAATGGTGTCGATCAGCTGCCTCGAATGGCGAGAGAGAAGGTGAGGGCTGAAATACCAGAGCCAGAGGCTGGCAAAGGAGATAGCAATTCGATGGTGCATCATTTGCCACAAGCCCTTTATCCTTTCTGGAAATGTAGAGCCGTGGTTTTCGAGGTAAATTAATACCTGTGGGTAACGGTTTGATGAGCCTTTAGACTGGTTCGGCCTTGCGCCCATGGTTTTGAATCGGCTTACATTCCAATACTGAAGCTTCGGGTGGAAAATTGGCCACAGACATGGATGCTAATAAGGCACAAAGAGCCGCGTCGTGCTGCCTTGTTCCGTGCCTCTGATAGGCAGGTTTGCACCAAGCCTACACTCAAGCTCACCTCTTATTAGAGCTGCCCTAGTCCCCGCACAACTCTCGCTCGGATCAGCACACTTCAAGTCCTCTCAGCGGTTCCGCCACCTCCATGTTCCATGGTGCAGCCACGCACTCCATCGCTGCAATGAGTCTAGTCCACGACGACCGCGAATGCATCATTTCAAACTACAGAATTCGGAAACATGACTTGGAAGAGTACTTAAGCCTCCGCATATTTCCAGGTTTGTGGGTACGGGCAAGGGTAAGTCCGCTTTGATCCCACCCGAGTCAGAAATACCGCCATGGTGGTGAAGTTGTGGAATAGAGTAGTATATCGTTCAGCCGTTCACTAACCCGACTAATCCGCATTTTAGGAGGTCGATGATTATTACATCGTAGACTTGCCGCGAAAGCTGAGCCAGGTATGCGCTACACCCTATCATCCGGTTTCTTTTCAGTTTTCTTTTGGATCCATCTGCTGCACCATGCAGTCCTTCTAGTCCGGTCAGTCAGGGTCGGCCTCCATACGAATCACCAACTCGAAGGTATATCGCGGCACCACCTCAGGGATCCAGTCCAGGGCGTGGATGCCATTCCTGTCGATGTCCAAGGAGATGCTGTCCCTCGCCAGGAGGTCGTTGCCGTCGGTGGTTGATGATTTAGGGGATGGCTAAGCCTGGATGGAGGTGATGAGATAAGCCACTTCTTGTTTTTGTTTTCGCATTTCCGGATCATTACCGTCCATTAAAAACATCGCTAATTGCGGCATCTACAGGAGGAGAGAAGCGAAATCAGAAGGACTTTACGGCTGGCGGAGAAGAGGTACACGAGACCTAACAGCATGCATTCAACAAGGTCATCACGGTCATGATGATTCTCTCCAGGGCTGAGGACGGAAATAGGCATTACGTTGGCACTCTGAAGGTCAGAAATCGCGTGGGGTCAGTCCTTAGGCGGAGAGGTGGTTCGCAAAGCGCGACTCATATTCCTTGGTACATTGGTTGCTGCCCACTCCGTTGAGCGAAAACGTGGCGGGACATGCCTTTGTGCAAGGCGAAGGGCTTAGGTGGTGTGCAGGTACATGTATATATAATATCGCCGCGTATGCTACGGCTTGAACGCTGGGCGCGAGACTGTTTTAATACTGCCTCCCGCGAGGCCAAATGCCTTCTGACATTAGCAGGTAATTCGAGAGGCTTGACACGAGAGCACCCTGGGGAAATGCATACCCAGAGCCTCCGAAGTTCAAACCGTCCGATGACGTAAGGTTCCTCCGGCCGACAAAATCTACAACGGGGGCCTTCTTAATACTCCGGCGAACATCATCTGAAAGGAGTGCCGGCGTCTCCAACGGACTTCATCCGCTATGCTCACTGATGTGCCGGTGGGCCAGGTAGGTGTCCATTGAGCAGCACGTGTCGAGAGTCCGTCTTCGGGTAGGCGGACCCAAACAAGCCCTCTCGGAAGCGAAACAAGAGTAGGTACACTAGTTGTTACAAAGACCCCTTCTATAGATATCCCCCTGTCCTGCCGGCCTTTGCTAGGCAGTCTCCATCTCTCCGCCATTACCGGAAAAAGCGGGCATCCGCATGCGCAGAGTGGATGGATGCCGGGGGTTGGTCAGCCAGCCAGACTTGCCAGCTCTCTTCGCCCGCTTTTCTCGCCCGAACAGGATATCCTCAAAGAGTTATTCCGCAAGACGATCGCCTTCTTCAGGATCATCGCGCACCCCACGAGCGCGCTTCATACGGAGCTGCGCATCTTGGAAGGCTTACAGCGCAAATTCTGGGGGAGAGAGTACTGATGGTGGATCGCTGGATAAAGCCTTTCCTAGGGATGCCGTCTGGAGTCGTCCTCGGTGCATTCCTTGGCAGACATACCGTAGCGCTTGTACGGCGAGAGAAGTGACAGGCCAAACCGGAAATCATTCCCTTCGCAAAACTGCCCGATTGTAGCGATGCCGCGCGAAGGCCTTACCGCATTCGCAACTGTACGACCGCTCGCCGGTGTCTACAACAGATCGTTAGACCACGTGCAGGTAAGGTGAGGGAAAAGGGAGAATGGCGACTTACATTTCATGTACTGGCGCGTTAGATTGCTCCCACGCGCACAAGCGGTATTGCATACCGTGCAAAGGAACTTCTTGCCCACGCCCCTCCCGGCGATCCGCTAAGTGCAGTTTAAGCGTCCGGCAGGGTCTACCAGACATCCATATTCAGTCCCCGCGGCGCGGGTTGATCTCCTGCTCATCAGCTTCATTGCGTCTTGGAACGCGCAGACTAAAGAGGGCCGACAGGAGCAGGTTGCCCCGGGTGCCTGCTTCGGCCTGGTTAGGGTTAAGCCATGACCCCTGGACCCCAGCTTTGAAAATTGGGGTCCAGGGATCCGTCCTTGGTACTTCCAGACGACTGGTGGTTTTGGATCAATGGCACGGTTGGCATGCCATTCAATCCGGTACAGCGTGCATACAATGCGTACCCGGCCATTCCTCCAACATCTCCCCTAGCGAGCTTTGGTTGATTGGCTGGGTTCTCAGCTACGGCGTCTGTGAGCTATGACCAACTCCATGCATAAGCGCGCTGGGCCAACCCTTGACAGGAGCCGTCTCAACGCGAGCCCTGCAGGGGACTACACCTTTTCTGATATTGATATTCTATGGGTCATTTTTGTTGCTGCTGAGGAGCTGCATTCCTTTATCTAAGACATACAGGGTTGTGCGAGCTAGTTGGTGGATGGCATTCAACCTCCCCACGCTCATATTACCGATTGTCGGCTGTATCTGCCGTTGGAAAAGTCTGGTTTTGGTTCAGTGTTTGCTTTGTGTGGCTGTCTGTTTTGAACGTGGATCGTGGAAGTGGCTGCGGAAGCGGTTGTTGCGGCGGCTGCGCGAGGACCACTCCGTCGGCACTCAACTGCTGGTTTGACCGGCCGAGCAGCCACTTCGGTGTTGTCCCGGGGGAGCATTGTACATTAGTTTTCTCATATAATTCACTCTTGCCCGCTGTGCTTTATCTCACACCATTCAACATTCTCGAGATAATCTTTGCTTCTTCACAATGTCTACTGATAAGCCGATGCTCGAACGTTATCCCTCAATAGTATTGAGTTCATTCGACGACGAAAAGCGAGGCATTTCCTGGCTTTATGAGGCGCTTCTGACGCCACTGGGTTGGCTTATGCTCGCCAAAAGGCGGCCGCTGTAATTGGTATTGCACGCCGAGTCTTTTGTGACACTGCATAGGTGATGCCCCAATGTGGTGCGTGATGCTGGCGGCGCCGCAGCGTTACCAGTTGCTCTAGGTGCTGAATGCATTCGCGCAGCGGATACCCAGTCAAAACTTCGCAAAGATATCCGGCATAGGCGCGGTCATCGCCGACGAAATCATCTATGCGTGTGGCGCGCATTGCAGAATGTGGAGGGACGACGGCCTCTTCCTCTGCCTCTCCAAAGACCCTACGACGCCCAGCCAAAGTGTTGGGGACATCGGCTAGACCGGGTTCGGTCACAGAACGTGTTCTGTGACCGAATTAAGTAGGCGCCCCGCACTCACCCTCCTTGCGGACAGCAGGGTTGGCGCAATGCACTTCGCCACTTCAATTCCTTGTGACCGTGAGACTTGCGCCCGTGGATGTCCATGGGCGATCCTCCCCGTCACTATCACTTTCCGCTTTCGGGCGCTCAGCGCTAATACTCGCGGCCATACACCCACCACGAAGAGAGAGCCGCTTTCCCTGTGGGTCTGAGGATTCAACAAGCTGAGGATCATCCCGCGTTGCTCGGGATGGGGCCGCTCCGTCTTGAGACGCCGAGCTGAGAATCATCCCGCGCTGTTCCGGACAAAGCTATGACCCCTGACAGTGCAGTTCAATGATCAGCCAGACAATTCATCATCCAAACTCGGTGTATATATGTCTGTACGCCTTGCACATAGCGCGCGAACTGAACTTCTGCATAATCTCCGTATACGGCCCTGGCGACCACTGCACCTCCCCACAGCCACATCATCTTGTTGCCTCTTCTCGTCCCGATGCAGAAGTCTCTCGACCTCGCTTGCTGGCTGCAAGTCGGCTCTTTTTTTCCACCGTGTGCCTAAGTGTCTTGAGCATCGCAGGTGTAGTTTTATCGAGACGCCGCTCCAACCGCGAAAGTACTAAAACGGGAATATCCATATATCCACCCGTCTACACCGCTTGTCCGAAGGCTTTTGACATTGTCTGGATCTCCCACCTCTTAGTTGTCGTCGTCTTCGCTTTGGGAATGTTGCCATCGCTTTTCAACTCTATCGAAGTCTTTCGGGGGTGAGTTAGCGAAGACGGCGTGTCGGGCTTTCTCTTGCTAAGGGTTCCAGCAGACCCACTGGGTTCGTCTTTGGCCGCAATCACGGGTGCGGGCGCTGTGGCTGTACGTTGCCGCAGCCGTCATCTTCCTCGCGGGCCTCATTGGGGCCGTCTTTCTCCCTATAGATAGCCACCGCAAGGCTGTGACTTGTACGATAGTGACTATCGTACAAGTGTGGTCTGTGGGCGAGTCTCTGGCCAGGATGACGTCCTGGAAGCAAGCGAGGTGGAAGTTATTCCTTCTCCTCGTGGCGTCGGCTTTCCCTATGGTTGGCGCCTGGGCAGCTTGGCCGTTGCCTTATACGCTGCATCTTCTGGTAAGTGCCTGCTGGAATGGTTGCGAAACTACATTAGCGCTAACTCTACAGATTATCTGCTTTTTTTGCCACCCGCTGGAGCTGGCGTGCCTCATTTGCATTTTGACACCGGAATTGGAGCAAAGCACACGTTATGTCCCGGCGCTTTCGAAGCCGGGGACGGGATATGGCGACTTCGGAGCGGGTGCCTTGAGATTGGTGAGTGTCTACCGTAGGGGTCGGGACAGCTTCGATTTCCGTTGCAAGGGCTCGAGCTCGGCTGCGTCCCTCGTGCTTGAGAGCTCGTCCGACGGCTCGTGCCCCGGAAATGTGACGTCGGTCGGTTAAATGGATGCGGGGATTGCGGATCGGGCCGGGCCATGCGGCGGAGTGGGCCTAGCATAAGCGCAGGGCGCGGAGCGGAGAGCCGGGAGGCGGAGCACGACCGGACGGGACTCCCAGAGCCGGTCAACTCGCAATGGCACGATTTCTTCACTATTCCTGCTGCGTATGTAAGAAATGTTACGGGCCAAGGTCTCTCGACGATCAACTCTCTTATATGTGTCGGTGGAATTGCAAAATAATTGCCTATTTACATATTGCTCTTTAAATGACTGGTTGGCGCAATTCTTTGCACGCTTTCGGCGGCCGCCGGTCAAACCGTGGACGTGCTGACCTCACCCGTGCCGCGACTTTTAAAATGCCCAACCTCTTCTCTCACCCTCCTCTCCTCCCTTATTCCCCTTCTCTTCTCACGTTTCCGTTCCCTCCCTGAATTGCTCCTCCACCCCGTGCACTTAGAGCCGCTGCACTTCATTCCGATGCCTGCTCCCTTCCCTCTTGGACACGGCATCCCAACTCCCCAATCCGCGTCACACAATCGAGCCGGCTGCCGCACAAGGCGTCCACCAGGAGCCGCGTTTTGGAAGAAGTCGGGTCTGGGCGGCAAGAACCAGCAGCGACTCGAAAAAGTATATTGACTCGAATATCCTCCCCGCACCCAAAGTGCCTGGACTGACATTTGCATTCCAGACCATCTTCGGCGTTTCGTTCTTTTGTCAGGAGCGTTCTGTGAACGTCGCAATCCCGAGCGATTCTACATCCTAGAACGCTACTCGGACGGCATATACGTCGCGTTGTCACCGCTTCACCCGAGTGCACGTGTCAGTCTTTTGGTGTGCATTCGAATGAGGGATCATGGAATCTTCTCAATGTCTCGACCACGACGGCGGAGTACTGCGCCTCCCTGCCGACAGCACGATACTGGCTCCAACAGCAGCACCATCAACAGTATCGCCACCACCAGCTGCCGCCAATCCAGCAGGTCGTCTATAGAGACAACAATTACCCGCAGCACCCGTACCATGGCGTGTCGTCGAGTTTGATGCCACTGAGCAGCACAGCGGCCCCACCGATCGATCCGGCTCTTGCCAACGCCGGCGGTCGGTCTCCACCTGTCCTGCGTCCGATGCCCTGTCCGTGGAGTCATGCTGCAGCGGGCGATAAACACTCCGTACGGCCAGGGCCCGCCGATGCATCGGGCTTTCATGACGCCCGACAGCAATCCGCCTACCAGTGTGGTGGGCTTGCAGGGCCATGAAGGCAATACGCCCGGCATTCCAGGCACGCCTGCGGCACTAGCTGCTGGAACAACTCAGGCGACGAACCAGATCCACCAGAAGAATGCTGCTGGGAGGTTCCCTTGCCCTCACTGCGACACGAGACTTACGCCCAAGCGAAGCACTTGAACCGCCATCTCCCCAAACGTAAGTCCTAGCCCTTTCCCTCTGATAGGCGTGATTTGACACTTTCTCGCAGACACCGGTGACCGGCCATACATGTGCTTTCTAAGCCGTGAAACCTTCGCCCGCAGCGACATCCTCAAGCGCCACTCCACCAAGTGCGCTATCCGAGGCGGCAACCCGACTAGCGCCAGCCACCTGTCCCGCCCCCAAGTGTGCGTCAACAAGAATGTTGCTGCCCGACGACAGAAGCCTGTGGGTAAAGGGGGCGGTGTGAACCACGTGGATGGTATGGGATACAGCAACGAAATCACGAACAATACCGCGAACATCAACCCGCAGCTGGCGAACAGAGCCACGCCTCAGACTGGGTGCGGTCGGGGAGTTGTGGGGATTGTGGATTGGGTGGGGCCGTGGCGGCGGAGTGGGTCCTGAGTATGCGTGCTCCAATGCAGGGGCGGTACCGGGAGCACAACCGGACGGGACTCCCGGAGGCGGGCAACTCGCACTGCTACTGTTGCTCCACTGTTCCTGCCTACTGCTAAATACATGAAGAAAAGTAATTGCTTGTACGTACTACCCATTACGAGTACCTTACTTACAAAGACGAAATGCGTGATTCGGTTGACCTGTTGGCCACTTCCTGAATGCGCAGGCGGCAGTCAGTCAGAGATTGTTGGTCGCGGCAACGTAATGTCTGGAAAGCTCAAATATCGTTGGCTGCTGGGCTCAGCATTAGTGAGGCCGACTGGTTCCTGGGGCCGTATCCTGTTGCAAGTCCACGTGTTTGTCCGGGCCACGACGCAAAGAGTCAAGCTGCCCAGCCGCAGACGTAAATATCCCCGCGTTTCCTATTGTTGCCTCTTCCATCTGTTTCTCGTTTGCTCTCTTTCTAGCCCCTGATCTGTACCTGATCCGTATCAATCGCCCGTCCGACAGCATGAACACGTCCCGTGCCTACCGTCATCCAGAGGATCGCAATGCAAGCTACCGGCAGCACGGCAATACGCAGGCCGCGACCACCTTCCAACCAACTTACCCAAGCGAGTTGTTGGAGATGGACTGGTCCAGTTGGACAACGCAACCAGCCCAAGTGATTAAGGTTGAAGAAGCTGCTCACGGTATAATTGGCATACCAAGCCACGTACCATCGATTACGCCGAGGCAGCATCGGTCAGCAACACCGTGCCACGCGGGACCAACCAGGGTGATGGAAGAGCCAACGTTTTACGTCAATAAAAAGCAATTTCATCGCATTGTCAAGAGGAGAGCCTATCGAAAAAGATTTGGATTACCAGCGCAACGAGAGCGGTCCAAGTCCTACGTCCACGAGTCGAGACACAAGCATGCCATAAGCAGACCGAGAGGCCCTAAAGGACGCTTTCTAGAAGCCGAAGAGTTTGAGAGGATGAGGATGGGGAGGACAGCGGCGGCCAGAGAAAGGGACAAAGAGATGAAGATGGGCAACAAGGGCACAGGAGAGACGATGGAGAAATTGCCGGTGTAAGAAGACTTGTGTGCATAGTTGTCGGGGGTGTACCTAAAATTTTATGGGACTGTCAAGCAACGGAATATGCAACAGTGCAGCTGTCATTTCGATGTACACGTCTACTTAAATTTTCTCAACCCTCCCTTTGACTTCTTCAGCCTCTTTACCGCGCGTCCCTTGCCTTAAGAGTACCTTAAAACACAGTGACCAGGAACCACTGAAGTAAGACCCCTGTAGCGACAGCAGCCTTCTATTACTTCCAACTGACCTGATACAGTTATGGAACCGTCAGCGGATCACTTAGACGTACCGCGGGATTTCCGTAAGAGCGGCCTCCGTAAGAGGGATCACGATGATCCAAGCGAAGACAACCGCATAGTCCGAGAAAGATCAACATCAAGGCATCGAGAGGTTCAGCGAAACGCGGAGGACCAATCTACTACTCTCAAGGCTCAGCATGATATTCTCCAATACAGAGAGGCACCGAGGAAGAAAGAGAAAATGGGGAGGGAATATGGTAATTGGGAAAAGAGACCAATCAGGCAGCGGAAGAGAGGGGTGTTCTGTCATGTATGCGAGAAGCAGCGGCCCATTAAGGAGGACTTCTCCTGCGGGGGTTGTGGACATGAGATATGCGTCCTGTGCTTGAATAAATGGACAGACTAGGGTAACATGAGGGTCCATAAGATGCAAGATGCCGATAAAAATATGTTAGCGGGCCACAGCACGCCAATTCCGGAGACTAAGTACCAGAGCAGATAGGGATCTCTATGCGGGTATTGGAGGGGATATATGTTGGGTAACCAGTGTCGTTCCCAGCGGACGTTCGTTTTGGATTGGTACACGCAACGGTGGGAACTGCAGGTGCTTGGTGGCCAGAGAGGCAGTGCGATGTGGGGGTTGGGAGTGTCCCGAGGAATCCTGCAGCCCAGCGACCGCTGGCGCGGTTTAGGGGTTAGTAAACAAACGTCACGTGACGTTTCCTACCTCACAGGGTCGTTGAGGCTCGTCGTTGAGGCTCGTCAATGGTCGTGATGCCACACGAAAGTCGGATTCGAAGTGGCATACAACGCTGCGGGTTACAAATTGCCGGGCGATTACGAGCCGCAAATCTTCCTTCAAAATCCGGTGTTTGTATAATACCTTGTTCTCCGAGGGTTAGCCACTTATCCTACCGCCAAGCGCACGTCGAGGAGAATGGCCCTGCGCGGCAGAGAGCTATAGGTGCCGGGAATGACATGGACGGAGTAGGGTATAGCGATACCCTAACAAACAGTACAATGACAATATAACCGAAAGAAATGCAGTTTTTCAAGATTCGGAAGTTCAGTCTTTCCCAACTCGTTGAGATGGTTAGAATCGGAATCGAAAGCGCGCCAATTGTGGAATGAATGGTTGACTTTGTGACCAGCAGTCGTTTAAGTATTTGGAGTCGCTCCCCGCCTTGGAAATCGAGGTCTTGCACTCAAAGCATGCCGCCGCACATTATTATACTAAGTCTTCCCTCCTTCTCCTGGGAGTACGGTCTGACTATTCCACATACCTCTCTGTCATCCTCGACATAGGAAAGCAGACGTCGCAACAGCACAGACTACGAGGCTTGTTTCCTTTCCTGAAAGAGGAAAAAGAGCATCTCAGCCGGCGCAGCAATTACCGGCTACTTTTCGCTTTACTCTGTTCGCAATCCTAATGGACATTATGATTCCGAGACTCGGTTTCCTCCGCTCAACGGAATTCTGGCTTGTTTTCCACACGCTTCTCTGGTATGGTACCTTTGCCCGAAGATGCCAGCCTGCCTCGGTCTCCGCGTGCGGCGTATCCTTTGACTCCGGTCTGCGGCTTTCCAGGTTGGCTAATGCTCTTCTAGGCTTCATCGTTATGTGCGGCTTCTTGTTCACTGCGTCAGCCATTGGCGCTACAAGTCCAAAGTGCCAAACTGGGAAAAGCCAAGATATACATCCGAAGATGTCACAGTGGTCATCCCGACAATCCACAACCGCCCGGAGGAGCTGCGCCCCTCCCTCGAGAGCATCCTGGCCTGCAAACCGGCTAAGCTGGTACTCGTGACCACGTGTAACAAGCGCGAGGCCTTAAGTCGCGTGGCGACAACCTTGCGGATGCCGGATTCCACGTCTCCCGTCGAGATCGTCGTGCTGCACGTTGACAAGGCAAACAAACGCCTCCAACTCTGCAAAACGCTGGAGGATGAGCACGTCAAGACGGCCATTACGGTCATGGCCGACGACGACGTGGAGTGGCCGTCAACCCTGATGCCGTGGCTGCTCGCGCCATTCGAGGACGACAGGATGGGCGGAGTTGGGACGTGCCAGCGGGTGAAGCGCGTCGTCAACGGGGACATCGCGACGCGTATCTTCAACTGGCTAGGGGCTGCCTATCTTGAGCGGCGCAACTTTGAGATATCCGCGACGCACAACATCGATGGCGGCACATCGTGCATGTCCGGGCGTACGGGTGCGTACCGCACCGAAATTCTTAAGGACCATGTCTTCTTGAAAAACTTCAAGAATGAGAAATGGGGAAGATACATCCTTAATGCCGACGATGACAACTTTGTAACGAGGTGGCTGGTGGCCCACCAGTGGAAGACCTGGATACAGTACGAGCCCGAGTGCGAAATTGAGACGACGCTCGAGAACAGCACGAAGTTCTTCTACCAGTGCTTGCGCTGGGCAAGGAGCAATTGGAGGAGCAACTGGACTAGTCTAGTGCGCGAGAGATACGTCTGGACGTAAGTTAACGTTAGCGCAAAGACCGCCCCCCTTTTCCTCGCGCCCTGCTAACCGACCAACAACTTCCAAGCCGACAGTGCTGGTGCACGTACGCGCTGCATATCGCCACTTTCACCTCGTTGGCCTTCGTGGTCGACCCGCTCTTGCTCTTCACGTGCTGGTGGGGTACGGAAAACTGGCAGCCTAGAAACCGGCGCACCCTGCTCGCGGCGGAGATCGCGTTCATGTTCGGCTTCACCAAAGTGGTGAAACTGGTTGGACTGCTTCGCAGGAATCCTCGTGACATCATGTTTCTGCCGGTGTCAATCTTGTTTGGCTACTTCCATGGTCTGATCAAGCTCTATGCGCTATGCACACTCAACGAGGTAAACCACGAGCGCCCTCCAAACCCGCCCCACATACAGGCTATGATGATCTGACATCGAAGCACAGACGTCCTGGGGAAGCCGCGAGGACGGTGATGAACACAACACTTTCCGTCTGCAGGAGAGCCTGCCCACAGCTAAAGCATAGCAATGCCGCTCCAACTCCGCTCACCCGTGCGAGTCTTCCTTAGAGACCACCCACCCTTGATATCTCTTGCGCTCTTGTCTCCGCTGCCGAGGGCCTGTCGTCCCTACAGAAGCTGATCCCCGCATCTTTCGCGGCGGCGGTCCATGTCGTCTGCGAATGCCTCGGATTGGTGCCAACGGTTGTCGGATGGCGGAAGCCAGTCAGTCCGGGCTTGTTCCACGCAGCTTATTCTCCATTCAAATGTGATGTCACCCCAAGAGCCAGGTAGTGTAACTCTCTGCCGCGACTCATTGTTGGAATGGATGGTCACCGTGTGCATAAAAACAGTGCCGGGGCCGAGGGCGAACGTTATCGTAAGCTCTTGTGCTTTTGGCGCGATATTCTCTCGATTCTCGAGCCCGAATGCGGACGTGCTATCGCCTTCGTTGTCCGTGAATATGGGAAACATGCCGCCGCGCTGACGGGAATCGTCGCGCGACCCGTCCGGTAATGCCTTGTGCGTATTGGCGTCGTAGTAAAATTTGGGAGATGTAGGCCGGGTGAAAGTGTATGGGTTCTTAGGTTCCAAGGACTTGGTTGGAGAGCGTTCACCCTCCATTCCATTGAGCCTCTGGGTGTAATTTCTCAAACTTCCGGTCTGCCCATGCTCCTCGGAGGGAGTGGATGGCTGTGGAGAATGCATGTGCAGGTTGAGAGCCGAGGGAACGGACTTGTAGCAATGAGAGTTGTTGGATTGGTCGTCCTGACGAGAAGTCAGGCAGCGTACACTTATGGTCGTGGCAGGCACTCCCTTGTCGCGCTCCTGTACCTGCCGCTACCCTGGACGCGCACCGTCCTCCAGCCCAACACCTTGTGTCCTGGGTTCTCTCGGCGAGACCGACACGAGGCCCACCCACACTCGTCCCCCAAGCGCTGACCTACATAAGAGCAGTCTGTCGCAGGTCGAGTCACTCAGTCAGTCTCAGGGCAAATCTTGCCAATGATTGGCAGGGATGTGGCGCCAGCTGCATGATGCATGTCGGCGAAGCGATCGCCAGGCACAACAAATTGCCAGTCCGCCTGAACAGCCCTTGTGCATCTTGGTTGGGCATCTCGGGAAGTCCATAAGTGGAGACGTTCGAAAGTGGCGTATCAGAGCGTGGTAAACGACGTTCAAGGACTGCTTGCTCAGGGGCGCCGGCCGCCAACAGTGTGAGCGACTGGTGAAAGGTGTGCTCTTGCGGGGAAGGGTTGGGGGGTAGAGACTTTGCAACTCTTTCGGTGTGCCGTCGTATATCCCATCCTTTCCGTGCTCTCGTACCTTGAGGGTACCTCTTACGATCCCTGTTAGTTCTGCTCGCGAACCAGCTCGGTCGTGCTTGTCCTTTACCGCCACTCGAGACGGAGCCCTCGGTCTCAGCTCGTCGGACGGCAAAGGCAGCCGGAGCAGCTTGTACCAGGAACTTCCTCGGTCATGGGCCTGAGCATCTCCAGCCGTTTTGAGCACTGCTGTTAGCATCATTCCACCAGCCTGCCCCGTAGCCACTCGCTTGCAGATCCGTTCATTTGCCGCCGTCCTTGACTCGCTGTCGACGGCTGGCCATGTGGCTGGCGCCAGGCAAAGGGCCATCTACGGTATGAGAATGCCAGACTGAGTGGCACCGTAGGTTTCGCCCTGCATGTGTCGATGTTTGTCTCATTCATGCCTGGGCGGGAGGCGTCTACGAGGCCTCTCGGGCACTGGTCGTTGCCATGTACAAGGGCTTCGGTTGGACACATCACACTGACTGTGAGGGCTATTGAATACGGTCGGGCGAAGTAGGCAGGCCAAGGTTGTGTTGTTGCTTTTCGCCTTAAAAACGAGCAAGGTTTCTTGCGTCAGGGAGTGAGATGTGAAGGTTTGCTTCTGTTAGCTACTCAATCTCGTGCCATGAAATGACTTGCAGTTCTATCTGGACAGAACTATCGAACCCCACGCGTTCGGCCCAGCGGCCAGTACAGGGCTTCCATAGATGGCTACTGCCGGCGAAGGCGTCCAGCGTACCCTTTCCGTACCCTGTCCATTCTTTTGTAAGAATGGGTATTGATGTGACGTGGACGGCGCATCTGAGGACCAACGAGCTCGACGACGTGGCGGAGCTATATCGCGAGCTTCATCATGAGAACCTCGCCTGTCCGTGCTGGTGCCGTTGGTGTACTGCCTGGCTTCTTAGATCTGGGGCTATAAGATCTCAGGGGTAGTAGACAAATCCGGTTACCCTGGAAACCATATGAGGGGTGCACGGATGCTAATTCTGATTCCTCCGTCCGGACCCACAAGGACCACCACGGTATCCAATCAGGCCTCAACGCGCGACCGCGGACGTCGGCTGTTCTTGATGATCACAGTACGCCAACCTGTGTCCCCCTCGGCCTTGCGCTCCCTTCCCTCCTTTTCCTCTTCCACGTTCACTACGCTGCCACTCGTCTCGCCATGCTGCATACTTTTTTTCTCTCCATCTCTTGTGTTCACCGTCTTTCAGCATTTCTCGAACCGCAGACGCTCTCACCCGGCAGCTCACCCACCAAGCCGTGCGTCCTTGCGACGTAGCCGTCCTGAGACCTTCCAGATTCGCCTTCTTTGTCGACTACAGCTTTTGTTGATGACCGCCGTCTTTTAAGACTCGTCAACGCATCACTTGCACCTGCAGCGACTCGGCCTCCTTCCAGAGGCGTTGGATCATGTACGCCAACGCCAGGTGGGCCATGCTAGTCAGGGTGTCGGGATGTTTCTCTCCCAGCACCTTCTTTCTCGCCTCCATCACTTGCACCTGCACCTGTTACCGGCTGGCGAGAACGACTGGTGGCTTTCGAACCAGATGCAAAAGTACTCGCCCACGCACTTGTTCTCAAGCGACCCGATTGACGGATCAGCAAACCTTCTGACGCTGCGGGTGGATCCCCATCGCGTCTTTGACGAGAGGCATCGTTCCCAAGCTTGGGGAAGAGAGTGGGGCAGACGGCAGGGAGGTGGACATAGGGCGTGACGGAGCTGCTGGTGGAGGAGGACCCCAGTCTGTATGACAGCGGCTACTTTGGGGCAAAGATCTCTGAGAATAAAGGCTGCTATGATGGCGAGCTTGGCCTTGCTGAGTTGCAAGAGGAGGAGCCTCGGTGGCGGTTACGGAAGCGGACGCTCAGTTTCGAGGAGGAGTACTCTGCCTCAAAACGCATTCACATTGAAGAGCGGGGTGTACAAAGCCAGGCCAACAGCAATGATAGCCACTTGTACTCCGTAGTTTCCAGGCCAACCAAATGCTTTGTTTATTACCCCTGAAAGGAAGAACATTTATTAAGCCGTGAGCAGTTTGGCTCGCCCCTCCCCACGAAATAATGTCTGCCTCTAATGGCTACTAGACGTGACTGTGCTATCAAAAATACAAAAAGGAGCGAAATATACTCGTGTACTTGTACGTGAACTGTAGGACTTGGCCACAGAAGTGGCAAGCTGCCTCCTCCGACCCTCCAGTGTCCATGTGCCTTTACCGTGCCGAAACGGGAAGAAGTCGGCCAAGGAGCACGAGCACTCGCGAGGTCGCCAAAAGTTGGCCAGGTCGGCCCTGCCACTCTCATAAAGCCTCCTGCATGAACTGGCCGCCTCGCCTCCGCCATGCTGTAGCCAGAACTACCAATAGCAAGACGAGCCCGGCCATTCAAGCGCCACGGACTCGTCTATTTCTGCCTCGCCGTCAATGCGACGAAGATAAGGATCGCCGTCATACGTCGTCACAAGGCATCGAGTCCCGTCCGGCTGGCTGAATCGCAGCAGGTAGCCTGAAGTAAGCGATCTGCAGGCCCAGCCGTGGCCGTGCCAGCACCGAAGCCTCCAACCACTTTCTCCAATACACCCCCTTTAGATGAGCGTCCAAACTTGAGCTGGAGAGTTGAGAGGGCTGTGCGAGACGATGAGTGCGGACTTAGGGCGCCGGCGGAAAGAGATGAACGTGGGTTTGAACACGCGGTCGCACGCGGTCTTGGCAAAATCAGGGGCAGAAGGCGTGTTGGGAACGCCCGGGTCCCACAGCACCAACCATTTGGAGCCTTACGCAACATGTACCTTATCCCTTTGGGCTGTGCTAAGCATGCTCTTAATACCTTCCGTTCCCCCCTTCACCATCCTCGAACCTAAGTTGTCCCGTTAAATAATTAGATACCTTCGGTTTTACCAAGGTCACCGCGTCTTCGACAGTAAAACAGATATGAAACCTCTGCGGACAACAGTGTTTGTTTCTATACTCCCTGATATTCTCCATTTTCCACTGAGGCTCGGGTTTTCGCTAACTCTGACTCTGTGGTATAGCCCCCGACTGAGCGATATCTACGAGAGCCTTGTCGAACGTGCTCAAAATCGCGCCGACGAGCAGGGGCGTAGGTCGCCACGTCTTTGGACCTCTCCGCCAGAGTACCTGCTCGAAGGACTTGTCGGCCTCCTCGACCACATAGCCGCCAGTTGCGAGTCTAGAACACTAGCGCGGATACCCTCAAACTTCGTCCTGAACATAATCTCCGAATGCGGATTTGATGACTGTGACCAAGCAACAACCGCGCTACGCTCGTATTGCTACGACCTGTATCGCAATGTCCTGGTTACCTGGCCCGAGAATGCGCCGTTTGTTAAGTGGCTATCCACTGCCGTGGCTACGTCATTTCGGAAGCACAATTTGGACACGGAAACTGAAAAGCGCCTTCTCACACAGCTGCGGCCTCTTAAGTCTTCGGATATACGTGAGAGAATGTGTGTGCGCAGCTGCCATCTCCCCCGGCGCCAGCCGGCTCTCAAGACCAACAGCAGTGCAGGCAAGCGAGCGATAGGACGCCTTACAAACTGGCGGTTCCGGGAAGACAGCTCTGGCGATGTGCATCTGATTGATATTGAGGTCGGAGCAGGAGTCTACTGGATGACGGAGGAAAATGCTCACCGAAAGTTCAAACATCGGCTGCTGAGATTCTGGAAACGTCGAGGAGGGCGCGAGAAGGCAATCAGGGAAGCTGGCCGCGATATAACTGATAACACCCGGTTCCTCATCCACAAAGTCCTCGACGAGCGTCCAGACCGCTCTGAATATTACGTTGAGTGGGTGGGCTATGGGGCGGCAAGCCGCTCTTGGGAGCCGAAGAGCGGAATACCTGAAGAATTCATTCATGCGTTCAGACGGAAACGGCTTCGTCAGAGGTTGAGGGTAGCTTAGGAGGACCCTGATATAAGAAACTGTTTCGTGACACTCTTCCGTTTCGCGGAACGGATCAATCTGAGGAGTGATATGGATGGTCGGAAAGACTCGCTGGGCAGTCACGTGGCAACAGTCCGACAAGGTCAGCACGAAGAACTTGCTTTGGACCTAGCATTGTAGAGTATAGACGGGTTATAAGATTATTTCTGCATCAAGAGGTGAAGTTCAAAGGTCGAATTCGTCCTTACTCAAACGCATTCAGTCAGATAATTCATGGAACGGCGACCCGATGAAGCTCTATTGCAGCCTGTAAGCAAAGTTGTCACGTTAGTAGAAACACGGATAACCTGCATAGAGCTTAACAGCAGCAACCTTCTCCACGTACCAGGGACGTAACAAGGATGTCGGATCCCAATACCCTCCACTGCCCTCACCGTCAGTTGGCCCACTGACCGTTCACTTCTGAAGGGCCCCCGGCGGGGATACTGCGCTGAATTCTTGACGGGACGTACCGTGCCGATGGAGGCAGGGGATGAACTTGACGATGAACGGTTGGGCAACTGGAACCTTGGGAAGATCATCTCTCTGTTGCATGCGACGTGCGGCATGTCTCACTCTCCGAGGTGTGTCACTAGTTCTTGGCTCCTGGCTTGCTTCTCTGCAAGCCTCGGCGACTGGCCCTCCTCGACGCACCTGAGTACCTAAGATGAGTTTATTTGAGGTGCATGAACTTGAGGCCAAGGAACCTGAAGCGCGAGTGAAGATCGCAGATGTCCCGCGGTTGGCTACAGTTTCGTATAGAGTTCCCAAGGTTCAGTCTCCATACTGATCTCTGTTTAATATATTGTCAGAATAACTCCGCCCATCAGCCGGTCCGTATGAACATACCTCTCTCCAGCACCCACTTGCATTCTCCGCAGAGCTGGTCCCTTGTCTCAAACTTCGTGACATTGGGCTAACATCCCCATTTCCTTCGAGTTTGTTTATAAAACACTCCGCCACACCCGCACCTTTCCCTGCTACTGTACTTCCAACCGTGCCCTTACCGGTCAAAGCGAGAATCTAACTGCAAGCAACATATGGAAAGGGCTCATGGCTGGACATATACCAAGAGCAATTCCAAGGGCAAAAGGCCGGCAAGTGGGGAGGAAACAGCCCACAGCGGTCCTTGTCCCAAAAATCGTGCCACAACGCAGGTCTCACTCGCTGCCTGCGAGTCCTTAACGAATTGCTAACCCTTTCTTAGAATGCCCTATCCAAAGCCCCACGCCTAGATGCATTGATTGAACACTGCAAGGAAAAGGGTGAGAAGGTTCCAATAACGGGTCACGGGCCAGGTCAGAGCTCTGCAAGGAAGATTCGGGTACAGGGGTGGAGGCAAGTACGTCAATGTCGAGGAAGACATCCTAAGTTCGATACCACTAGGGAAAGAGTTACTCCGCAACTGGGGTCATGGTCCCGACTGGCAGCCGGCTTGTCGACGTTGTGGGTCATAGCGACGGACAGGGAGCATGGTGGGAGATGATATGGACATTGCTGAACCAATTTGCTCATGACTGTTTGGTATGTATTCGCAACTAGGAGAAGAAGCAGACGCTCTCGCGCCTAGGTATATTGCGCTGGTCTGACATGCGTCTCAAGGGTCCCCAAGTCCTATACTTTCCGACTCAATCAATCAACAACCAATCGTACCACACTCTCACAATCTAGTCTAGTCCAGTCCGTGCCTGTGTTGGGCGCTGGCTCCCGCCCCGCTCCAGGTCCACACCACCATATCGTCTATCCCTGCCCATCCCAGACGACACGACATACCGCACCACCGTACCGTACCACCCTCCGTCTAGCCTGACCACTTAGTAGTAGGTATGTCTTTGTCCTGGCCGATATCTATGCACAAGCCTTAAGCCTGATGAGGCTGCAGCGCAAGGTGGATGCTCCTACCCTTTAAACACAACAACGGCACCACCACACTGCTGTTGCTGTTGCTGTGATTGGGCTGGGTGATGCTGATGCTGATCAAACCACCGGATCACTTTCGAACTTCCAAGAGTAGAGCCCGTAGATGCTCTTTTCTCGGTAAGGGTACTCGATCAGTCTCGAAGAGATTCGGATGCAAAGAAGGATCGAAGAGCCGGCCAGGTCATCGGCCTCTGGTTCGCGCACTATCGCTCCAAAGTCGTCGTCGCGTTGCCTTGTCTGCCTCTCGAGCAGGGCGGTTTAGGGAAGGGGGATGGGAAGGGGTGTCGGCCCACTGAAAGAACGGGGCGGGATGGGATGGGAGTCCTCGCGGCAAGCCTAAACTGGAAAGACAAGGCTGGCCGAGCTGGCCAAGCATGACGAGGCGCGAGGGTCATGGCCGGGGTTCTCGTTCACAACGGGGGGTGTACCGAGATGTCTACCGAGCATGCACCAAGATTCGCCATCAAACATCCCTGACAGTGGCGCCCCCTAGGTCGCCGATTCCCAACCTGCAGACGACTGTTTGTGCGCACACCGTTCTTCACATCTCACGCCCTGACGCAAGAAGTCTTGCTTGTTTTTACGGCGAAAAGCAACAACAACCGTAATCCAATGATAGAAGCTACGTTCACTCGGCATGAAACGTGTTGAGATGCACGCGCTTCCATGGACATGATTGGTCCTCAGTCAATCACGTCGAGTCGCGCACCCTCCCACAGACGCGTTGGCCAGCCACCGCGAGCCTGAGGGCACCCTCCATAATATCGTGTTGGTTGTCTCGTCTCTGGAAGACTTCTGATGGCCCTCCCGTCATTCTTTCCCGACTTGCTAGCCGACGGAATTGCCTAGCAACATCGGCTGATCACGACTTTGCCTATCTAGGGCCAGTGCATGGGTTGAACATGTAAGTGAACTCTGTTCACAGGGCATCCGAAAACTGCCTAACATTGGGATGCAGCACTCATCATGGCCAACACCACCGCTGAAAAGGTCAGCAATTTGCTCGGACCTGCTCCGGCTGATGATGAGCATAGCACAACCGATCATGAGGAGCAAAAGTGCCGCTCTTGCGCGTCTCAGGCGTATCCCTGCGATGGGGCAAAGCCATGTCGGACATGCGTTGGAAGGAATCTATATTGCTCCTACCTCCAGTTCGATGGAATGACCATCGATGTCTATATCCCGAAAAGGAAGCAAGGCGAGATAGGCTACGTCCCCATTTCGGAACAAGGAGACTGTCTTCGATGCCTATCAGAACTTCCCAAAAGAAGGGGAGGACGGCCCTGTTCTCTCCCCGGAAACGGACCGTGTCAAAACTGCCAGGAAAACACGTTCAGAGCTCTCAAGCGGACGTTGAGGCATTACAACCATTGGTGCATCGTGTACCTAGCTGGAGGGCACGTTCGGAAGCATCTACTTTCCTCTTCTACCGAGGGGAGAAGGAGCAATTTCTGTCCAGCTCGACGGCTTCTTGAACAACAACTCCCTATGCTCGAGAGCATTCCTGAGCAGCTTGAGGATATTGGGGCTGGTGTAACGGACCGTTCCGTCAAGAAGCAGCCCATAGAGGGAAAATGCAAAACCTGTGCGTCACAGAGACGCCACTGTGACGGCGAGAAACCTTGTGGGACGTGTACCAAACTGGGAAGAAGATGTGTCCAGCAGGGAACAACGTCGGGTACTGTCAAAGGTGTCCCACTCGACCAAAAGTGTCATAGATGCCGCAATCGGGAACGTGCTTGTGACGGCAAGACACCTTGCAACACATGCATCGCATCGTCGACGGAACTTCGAGTCCCTTGCAGACCGCAGGGACCAGATTCTGTACCACCAAGACAGCGGAACAGAAGGCGTGAAACGAAAGCCAGGAGGGGGAATGAACATCAGAGAGGAAAATTGGGGGAGGACTGCACTACGGAGCGTCAGCAGGTCTAACCAACATCCTATCTATGTATGTATCTATTTCCTTCATTCACCAATCCCACAACACAAATGTTGAGAAGGAAGTATCTGGATTAGTCAAGTCCGCATCGTCATCATCACCCATCCTGAAGGAGCAGCGCAATAGCAATGGGACAAGTAGCCGTGAACAATTGCCTCAAACCCCAAGCTTCGATAAAGACAATTCAGAGATAAGATGGCCAGCTCCAGCGTTGTGATCCCTTTCCAAATCACCAATCCCGCGGCATATGAAGCCTTGTGCGCGCTTGCTGGGGCCTTCCCGCCTGGGCCGCCACGGGAACGCCCGAGTCACACTAGCGCCCTGCTTTTACGCTAATCGAAGTACGGCGAATTGGTGCCCTCTGGATCCAACGGTGCCACGAACTGGCCCCCCCTCCCATAATCCCAGTCCGGCTCGGCTGGCCCAAAAAGGTCTTCGACGGGCGTTAGTGGTAGCTCCCCCGGTCTTCCGATGGATCCTTGACATTTGACCGAGCCGCAGAAGCATTCTATCAAAGCGTACTGATTGCCGTAAAAGATCGTGAGTTCTTCCGATGGCGAGATCGCCTTGTTGGAGTATAGAAAGAAACGAAGCGACCCATCCACTACCCATTTCTCTACCCTGCAGTTGGGTTCACACGAGTGGTTGACGTATTTGGCGTCAGAACCATTCGTACCGTCGATAATTACGCCGTCTGCTTCAATGATATATAGTCCCTGATACCTTCGTTAGACGGGTTACAGCCTAAGCCGCGACCTGGGCTTCAATATCCTTACCGCTTCCTGGCGCTCTTGAATCAGCTTTCCCGTATATTCTCTGATAAGTGTATTGGCTTGAACTTCCTCCAGAAGCCGGAGACCCCTACCACGTTTGCCGTCTGTCGTTGTGAAAACCTCACAACGTGGAAGCGCCCGCGAAGAAGGGACGCGGTTCCCACACTGAATCCCGAGGCCGCAAATCGAGTCGTCGCACTTGAATTTTCTGCACAGATTTAGACAGTTTTCATCGCAACTGCCTTCGCATCCACAGTTGTTATAAGTAAACGCCCTCCTAGGTCGCGCGTCCCGCGGCTTGTTGTGTCTGAGCATCATGGCGTCCAAGGCGCTGCTGGGAAGGTTTTCTCGGGCCGGGCTGACCGGAACTAGCACACAACACACGATAGATAGAAGGAAAACAAAACAGAGACAGACGCACCAAGGTTATTTTCGATGGACTTACGGCGCCGCTCCCTGCCACCCCAAACCGCTGCGGAGGTGGGGGTGGCCCAATGGAGGCGCACCCGTGGCCTGCAGCTCGTGGGTGGCGGGAGAGCAAGCAAACCCCCATCCGTCCGCCAGCGGGGTTGGCCGGTTTACTCTTTCTTCGAGCGGGTTGGCCAGTTCAAGCGGGGAAGCGATCACGATGGGCAACTTTCTGCCAGCGACGATCAGCTGCATGCGCGGCAACCATATGGGCCTGAAGGAGTGGGTTTGCCCAGAGCCCAGAGGCCGGAGGTCGCGGAATCGGACCACGCAGAACTGCGCGGGCGTTATGCGACGCGTCGGTTCCAATGGATCCGGTCACATCGCCTTTCAAGACCCCCTTACGACCCTCTCAAATAGCACACCTCCCGCCAGTCGTCGCCTCCTCCCTGCAAGTGGCTCAGCTGCCCCGGCCATGTGCTTGACCCCCCTGTACAGAAGCGAGAATACCCCGAGATATTACACTAGGCTCATCACAGGAACTGTCTCATGACCCCTCATATCCCCTGGCGGCGCCGTCCCTCTGTTTGCATTTGAATCGCATCCATCGTCACGAAACGAACTATCCTTCAGAGCGCGCTCAGAACCACACCACGCAAAGATGTGCGGACGACGTACAACGCTCACCACACCGGCTGAACCGGGCTCGCTCGCCGCCATCATACGCGGGGAGCCTCGTTCACGTCTCTTCGTTCCACCGCCCTACTGGACCGATAAGCATTCTCGGGTGATTGGCGCGCGCCGGCTCTGGCGTATGTCCCCAGGCAGCGGCGGCGGTCCAAACTGACCGCCCCTGCAAATGCCGACCGCGATCCTCGCATTTGTTGCGACTCTGCTCGCCATAGCGCAAGCGCACTTCTACAATGAGACGTCATTTGACGCCTCCGTCTTCACTCCAGGCCCGCTCTTCCAGCGGCCGGCGGTCCACGCGAATGCCAATATTTAAGCTATCAGTGGCGAAAGTACAAGGCGCTTCAGTTCAAGTTTTAGAAGCAAATTCCCGTCAACCGACTAACTTTTAAAAGTTACATCGTTTCGCTAACTGCCCGTTCCCGCAATGTTTCCCAAGGCTTTACTAGATGCCCAACTGCCAACTCTGCCCCTCTAAAAACCGATCAGATTGCGGCAAGGCAGCGTCGCCCAATGCTCACGCTCCTCGCAGAGCCCGTAGAGCCATCTCTCGCCACAGGGTTGACCATGCTCATCTGGCGGGGAAACACACGTCTCGGGGTTTTCGCCACGTGCAATGGCGGCCTGGATAGCCTTGAGATCGGCAAGCACCTGGTCTGCTGTTGTGTAGAGCTGGCGCCAGCATCGCGCCGTGACAGCAGCGCACGCGTGCTCGTCGGCAGGGGGAAGCTCGCCGGCGCGGAAATGCCGCTCGATCTCGGGCTCGGTTTCGTGGAACCACCGCATGATATCGTCATCGGACTCGGAGGAACGGACCAGGTCCGGGAAACCTCTGCGCCGGTGATGAGGAATTGTAGGGCGCTGCCGAGTGCAAACAGATCGGTTCGCACGTTACAGCGGTCGGCAGGGTGCCGAGGCAGCCAGGCCTTAGCGGATTCGCACGAGCCTCCATCAAGGACAATAGCGCCGATGTTCAACATCCTATCCTCGGCGGTCGAAGCGTGCTTACTCGGCGTGGCACGAGGTGGGTGGTGTCGGTCGGGTTGGTGTTAATGAGTTGATGGTGATGAGTTGGTGATGATAGATTCAGGCTGTTTCGTTCTGTGGCCTGTTCACGGAACAGGAGTGGTCAGGGACAGGCAGCTGGCGGACCGTGTCATCGGATCGGTCCGGAAAAAGAACAGAACAAGAAAAGCACCCTGCCAGCCACCCAACCATGTCTCTTCTCGCCACTCCAGTGACTATGTCAGGCTATGTGTGTCGCATCACCGCGACGTAGTCACACCCTCATGGATCCTTTTGTTTGCATCAACGGGTCAAATATCACTATATCTTCAACTGTCGTTATTCATGCAACGGTCCCCGCATCATGGAGCTCCCCATAATCTACAGTCTCCCCGGGGATGATGGGGTTCTGGCCGGGCACCTCCAGATCCAGTTTCACCTCGTACTCGTGGCTCACGCCAAACCGCTTTTCTTTGTTATCCAACTTCAGCCACCTCCCGCCCTCCCTCTTGGCGATGCGGCAGCCGAGCCAAACCACTCGCTCGCTCCTTTCCTCCGTCATACTGGCCAGCTCAAAGTACTTCTCATCGTCGTCAATTTTCTCCTCCGTGACAAACCACCCGTCAGGGAGATATTTTTCCGCCCAGGAAAAGCCCCTGATGGCAAAATCATCCGGCAGCGGCCGCCTCCGCCGCCCGGCGCCCTCCACTCCCTCCTTTACGTCCTTGCCTTCCTTCACAGCGCCCGGGAACTGGTCACTTTCCAAGAGCCTAGCCAGGCCGCTACCCTGCGAAGCGTTTGGAGACGAAGAAGAAGATCCCTTCAACAACGTATTGAGCATGAGAGCCGTGAGCTTCCAAGGAAAGTGCGGCGCCAGATACGCCATGGCATCGGGGCAGAACGTAAGGTGGTGCACAAAAACGAGGGTAACGTGCAGGAACGGAAGGATGTTAGGGTCGCCGAAGCGGCGGCAGACGACGTCGTAAGTGCCGGTGAGGAGCCGGAGGGCGTTGGGGAGCTGGTTGGTGCTGTTCGAGGTGGCAAGCTTGGCGTTGACCGATGGGGTTTCGGATGCGGTCGCTTCTCGCATGGGTTGGTCTTGGGATCCAGCAGGCTTGAGGTTGGTGCGGGAGAAGGCTTTGAGGGCTGCAGCGATAAGGTTGGTTTGATCGCCATACCCAGTTAAGGCACAAATATTGGAGATGGCCATGTGATACCTAGTTGCATAACGTCAGGATCCAAGTCTAGCAGGCAACTCTCGGCAGCCACGTACCCTGATTCGAGCCATCGGCGGGTGGAACGGCCGATGTGGTTATCGAGCGAATGGAACAACGCTCCCATTGCGGACTCCAGCTCCTCCATCTGCTTCCCGCTAAACATGATGCCGTGGGTTTTCACAAAGTTGAGCTCGGTGGGTGGGAGTCTGGCCTGCTGGTGATTCGGAGTGCGGGACATGATGGGCTCGAAGAGAGTCATGATGCTCTCCCGCGCAGAGGGGAATGGCATCTCTACGCACAGGGACTTGGAGTAGTAGTAGAGTTGCTGCAACGCGTTGGGGCGGGCGAGGATGGCCAGGTGGTGGTAGAACCTTCCTGTTATCGGAGCCGTGTCGGAGGCACGACTGTACCAATGTCGAGAAACAGCTGTCCAGACCTCTCGATCCCGGATGTCGTCGTCTTCAATCGCCATTCGGTAGCGGCCGAGATCTCCAAGGCACTCAATCCATGTGTCCTCAAAGGTAGGCACCGTCTCGTAGAGCAGGGCCATCATCGAGTAGGCCATGTAGATGAATGTGAGCATATGATCCAAGCTGGCCGGCAGGCGATGCCGTAGGAGTTCCAGGTAGCTGTGGATGCCGTGTCGCCACAAACGGGCCGGCATGGCGTACTTGGCAGCCAACCTTCTCAATGCTGGGCTTGCTGAGGGGTGCTGGGAGGCCAGAAAGAAGTCGTGGTGCTCATGGATGAGGGTGCGGTGGAGAGCAGTCAAGGCCTGCCATTGATCGTTGTTGAGCTTGTTGGCCGGGTCGGTTTGCGAACTTTGCTGAATCTGTATTTCGATGCATTTGCTCTCGACCATGACCAGGCCGGCGTAGATGCCTTTGACCTCGGCCACCAGCTGCTCCTGGGAGATGGGGTGGGTTTCGGGTTGCTTGATAATATCTGTCGAGTCATCGTCCACTGGCGGGATGGCCGCGGGGGTTGCTCGGCGAAGGCGAGGCGGAGGAGACGAGCGAGGCTGGTGACATGGTTTGCTGACTAGACCCGAGGAGCTTTCGCGCCAATAGGTTGCTTTAGACGTGCGTGGAGCGGTAGCGGCATTGTTGTCGTGAGGACTCCATAGCCTGCCTACGCGGGAGGCGACCCCCCGAAGGGTTGCATGTCGAACCTTAGCCGGCTTTGGAGGCGAAACGCTCCTGAACCTCACCGTTTTGACGCTTCGGGTGGGGCTGGCCCTCTTGCTTCGGCGGTCACGGTCATTCAAGATCGGGCGTGCAGGCCTAGCGGACGTCTCCGGGCTGGGGGGACGAGGTTGAGCGTCGTCAGTAGGAGCCGCCTTGAAGGGAGTGGAAACGCAACGCTTAATGGCGGAGCTTAACACAAGGAAAGAAATACAAACCTGTCACCCGACGACTCTGCAGCCGGTCGTTGAGGCTGGACCCAAGCCGTACGTTCCACCGTGCCATAGTGATCAATCAGCTGGGTGTGGGAATCTGTGATGTGATTCTCTTTGGGGCAGCCTGGCTCGGCGTTGTCATCCCGGGGGTGTTGGTAATCCTCGCAGGCATCTTGATCACACAGTGGATACCAGATGTCGGGTGTCTTTCGCGATGATCGCCGAAGATGATTGTTCCAGCGTTTTGAAAAGTCGTCCATTTCTCGAGAAGGTACGAGTGATGTAGGAGGTAGATCACAAGTGCTCCGTTTGGGTTTGGTAGTTCAGGGCTCGTTCCTGGGTCGCGATGCGCCGATTTTAGGCCTGTGGTCGGCTTGAGCAACTACTGCAGACAGCTGAGAGGGGAGTGTAAGCGATGAGTGCAAGAGGGAGGATGATGATGATACGAGAAACATATACCCATTATACTCGAGAGCCTCCAGGTTCGCGCACCACCATGCATCCCTATCTGCTTTACCACTCCAGCGACGTTGCCTTGTCGCCTTCTTTGCCTTGCTGACAATGCATGCGGTATGGCGGTTCAAGTAATGACTGAATCAGACGCGAAGTTCCTGGATGTCATCCAGTCCGGTTCGCTCTGGTGCTTTACTGCGCAAGGAGATTGCCGGCCGTCGTCTTGAGGAATAGGCATTTGAACGTCGGCAACTTATGTCGGCTGCAGAGGCCGATTGTCATGGCTCTACTGCGAAGCAGACGGCGCGAACTACCCGAACCAGAACTCGGGCGAGCTACTAGAGAGCAGGTCCACAAATGCGAGACGCCAGTTGGCTCCTGCGGCGGCAGAAGGGGCCAGGACACAGTGACGAGGCAACCACGGTCTGTGGCGCGTGCAGATCGGAAACGAAGAGTGGTGCCCAGGAGTTCCCCCCGTTTTACAGCTCCGCGGGAAGGCATACCAGGGTCCGAGAGGTACCTCGAGGTACGAGCGGATACTATTGGATACCAGAGAGCACACCGAGAGACGAGCGACTATCTCCACACTCCTTCCACATGCAGGAGCACGAGGTACACGCCGGTATTGCCGGAGTCGCGCTGCCGTCCCTCCTCACGCTCTGCCGAATTGGTACTGTGAATGGGCATTTGGTGCGCACAATGGGCGACGCCGCCCGGGGGCCGACCAGAACCGGGCTACGCAGAATACAAGCACTTGCAATGGAGCCGACCCGAAAAGTTGCGCTGTTGGTGCTATTTACAGTCGGTAGCGAGAAGTAAGAGCGCTCTATTGCCCCCCAAGCGTTCGCCACTGCTCCCTTATGCTCTCTTTGAAGATGGCCACCGACGAAATCGACGTCAAGGAACAGCAAAAGTATAGCCTCAAATCGGACAACAACAGGGAGTTTTCCGTTAAAGCCCTAGAATCGGGGAAGGTTCTCTATTCATGCTACGCAGTATGTGCTGCTCTCTTGGTTTTATCTCTCCAGGCTACTAAAAACGCCTAGGTGCAGAGCGCCTGGAAGGAAAGCGCCTGTCTTGGCCGGCAATCAATCCGATAAGATGCAGATGCTTGAGGCTCTGGCCTGAGACATGGACACAGCCCATTCGTTCCAATAGCGCCTCCTTCATGCTAATCGTGCGGAACGCCATCCCCTAACCGGGAGCTAGATCACAGATCCTCTGGTCCCAGTCAAAGCCGCCGTATCCTTCTTCCGTCTAATAGCCTCGACCTCGGATTCTAACGGCCTTCGCCGCAAGTGCGTTCGCCATTGTGTTATAGGCACTCCCTGGCGTAGCGGTCCTTAAACTTTTGGTTGTTTGCCCTTGATGACAAGGATTCCGCAGATATGCCGAACTTCAGTTAACTAGTTTTCAGACGGACGGGGTTCATGGGTTGAGCAGATTCCCCGGGTTTTAGGGCGATCTCCCTGGCGTCCCGTCTTGGCGCGGGAGGAGCTCGCTCGGTCTTGGCCCCTGTGAGGATTGGGCTGTCCTACAGGGGTAATGACAAGATGCGATTTCCTGAAAGAGCTGCCAAGGTAAACGCTAACCAATCAATCGCCGGGCTCGATGTCACAGAACGACAACGCCACGGGCCAAAATCTTTCGTCTATGTCGCTTCCATGTCCGTATCCATATCCGTATCCATATTCGTATCCATATCCGCATCCATGTCCGTGTATTTATACCCCCAAGTAGCTTAGCTTGACTCGGTACCCTTGTCAAGCCCGCCGTTATTCCCCGGCCTATAAAGGAGGATGAGGACATTCAATTCCACTCCCTTGTCAATGAACCTGCACTTGTGATTTGCGCTCATATCATGCCGGGGAAAGCAAGAGATCGGCCGCATTTGTTTCCGATTAGGGGAAGCGAGTATGTCACTGCCTCTCGAGACGAGCTCTCGACCCCTAGCGTACACTGTGGTCTCGTTGACCGGCGCAGTTGCCTGACCGCCACCTAGGCATACCATCCACCCCCCTTAGAAGTATAACTACTAGGTACCTAGTATCATGCCGCTCAGAGCTGACTCTTCCACACTCTCGTCGGTACAACCTCTCTCTGAGATGGACAGTGGATACTACGCAATGCACCCCGCCCAGTAAGTGCCGGACTGATATCGTTGAAACTCGAATTTGCTAACTTGTCTTTATGATTGCGATGGCGGCGGTTCAGAAACGGGAGCAGAAGAATGTTAGGCACAGCAACAAGAGCTGTCAATATGCAGGGACAAAGAGGGCGGTATCGAATTCAACAACACTGGTCGAGCCGGCGCTAGAAGCTAAGGAAGGGAAGTGAAAAGCAAGGTGAAGTTAGGTAAAGACTCGGGCGAGGAGGAGGAGCTCTTCCGTTAGTACGATAACAATGGGTTTATAAGGGACGAGGCGGCCGTTCAACGCGGGAGGCGGCTGTGTTTTGCCTTTGTTGGGTTCCTCGCGGATACTCCGTAGCCTCCTCAATGAATGCATGCTACTAGTCACTTCGAGCGCCGAGTTTGCGGCTTGAGATAGCTTGGCGTCGAGAGTGCTAAAGAGACAGGGCAGGGGAAGATCTCTCCCATCAGCGCTTTCTCGGCTCCAGCGGATGCAGCTGTGGTTGTATGGAAACATATTCATGGACTTCTTGATAGTCTTACTGGGGAGGCTAAGTGTAATGGCCGCTGCGGGATCAGGGGCAAAAGGGGTAATGTTTATATAAGGTAGAATATGCCGCAGAAGGTGTGAACAACGGGAGGTCGAAAAAGGCGGGCATGGGTATCCACAAGCTCCCGCAGACAAGTCCACAACGGCCTTTGCTTCCAGGTTCCCAGCACCCTCTGCAGCGATACCGAGATTTAGTGGGGCGATCGAGGCTCCGGGGCAGAGACCCCCTGCACGCCCGGAGTACTTTTGCTAAGCGGGGCAGAGTCTACAGTGCTCTTTACGCTATCTGATCAGAGTGCAATAACTAACATAAATACTTACAACTTACAGACTTTTGGGTTTTGCCCCTCCATCAAATCTTGTCTCTGAAGTTCAAGTTACTTAAGTTTCGACTTTGCACCTCGCATCTTCAAGGCGAACGTCCCTCGAGCCCATCCACACTCCACCATGCTATTTCAGATACAAGATTTAAACCCATTCCGGGTCGGACCACCATCACCTGACCACACTCTTGACCCCTCCGGCTATCCATTTTCAAGGTCGCACTCAGCCCCGCATCTCTCTTGCCCCGCTAGGAGGAATGGCATATGTGGCGAGGGAATTTCGTTGGGCGCGAAATATTGCTGCCAGAACATCGCACCAACAAGCCAAGTCAAAACACGAGAAACGATCTACAAGATGCCAGTTGACGTAAAGAATAAGACAAAGGACCAGGTTTTGGAAATGCTAGCTAATGCGGTAAGGATGGATAGCCCTAATCTCTTTGCTAAGAAGCTTACCAAAGATAGATCAATGCAAAGAAGGATCAGCTTAAATTCATTTCGGACGAGAGCAACGAGATCGAGAACATCGTCGCCGTATATATTTCGATATCGTTTCGCGAGAATATCGCCTTTGAGAATGGGCCGGACATGGAAGAGGGAGACTGGCTATATATGTGGGAAGAATTTCCACGGGGGGGACGAATTGTAACAGAAGGTGCTGTACTTGAATTTATCGTGAAAATGTAGAGATGAGGTTATACAGGGTCATACTCTGGACCTCTGATGGTCTAAAGTGAAATCCCTCCCACTGAAGCTCGAAAGTCCGGCCAACGACTGCAACATTGACGAACTTGCCTTTTCTGATGCTGTAAGAAGCTATCCGTCCAACCCGCTCCAGCTGCTTAACAATTTCCGATGCTGGTATCTCAAAGGAAGATGCTAGATAAGGTTAGATACAAAGTCATAGGTTTAGTAGGTAGTAAGCTTACGCTTGTCGGTGGGGAAGATCTCCGCTTCCTGGCGTACAATAACGCGAAGTTTCAAGTCCAGAATCGGGCCTGCCTGGTAATAACCTCCAGGATGTAGCGTGAACGAGATTGGGCTATATATAGCTCGGAACGGTGAAGTCAGGAGGGACGAAGGATAAAATACGACGTAAGACCCACGCATCATACTCGTGATAGTGTTTGTACCGTCGGCACAAGCTGGAGCGGCCGCAGTGGGGTGTGCGGTCTGGATCTGGTCACGCGTCACCAGAATATCTCGAGGGAGGCTCGGAGGTTGACAAAAATAGGACGCGGTATCTTTTAGGTAGCACTTAGCATTTTGGTTCAGCTAACGGTTCGAGGCAATATAGGTACCTACCTTTCAAGTTGGGAGCGTATCCTTGCTCGTAGCTAGCGACCCTCTGCCTTTTCCATGGTGGCTCTTCGCCCGACGCCGAGCCGTGCTGCTGGTAGCCCACAGCCGTCTGAGAAGCGGTGACTTGGCTTGGAAAGATGCTGATAGAGTGCGCTGCCGGCGGATATGTGCTTCGATACTCAGCGGGCAACTGGAACCCTGAGGCCTGAGCGGGCTGATTCAGTTGCGGGGCTGCAACGGGACGGTTCGACGGAATACCGGTTGTCTGGAGCGGCGTTAAGGTGACGGGTGCTGTGCGTATGTCGATGGCCGTCGGGGTCTGCTCGGTGTTGGGGCCGGATTTGTCGATGATGCAAGCCCAGGTTCTGAACATCCATTGTAGCCGAGTATCGTCGAGCGCTCGTACAACGTTGGGATTCTGAGCAAGCCAATTAAGCCTGTCGGCGACGGCTCCAATGTTGTCTCCCTCGACCCTCTGAGCTCCGTCTGAGTGCCCGGCCGCTGTCGTTTGCTGGCAACCGCAGCGCAATGAAAGTATTTGTAGTACTTCGCCGATGAACCGGTCGTTACAGGCACGGAGCGGGTCAGATCTAGTGCCGCCGAATTTCGCAGAACCTAAGTTTGTGAGCATAATGCGGGTAAAGCGGAGGAAGGAGACTGACTTTGCCTCCCTGGATGAACCCGTGGTAAGCGTGGATAACGCGGAAAGCAGTCCTTCTTCAATCTGGTACATCTACTGCAAGGGTTCTTATTGTCACACGACAGGTGTAAGGCGTGACAGGCTTGGCAGGCGAGAAGTGTGCCGGGACTGCTCGTTTCCGACATCCTGCTTTGGATTGAACGTGTCGTGGAAAACAGTTGACAATCCCATTGCGTTGGGGAATGGAGTCAGGCGGAGATGGGTACGGATACGGATATATGCAAACGTGGATTCGGACATGGATGCGGACATGCATGTGGACATGGATGTGGACATGCATATGGAAATGGAGACGGACTCGCACTCCCAGGTGTGGCAAAGTCATGGGGAACAAGGGGGTGGATGTGCAGTTGGCGCATGGTTGCCGGCCCTCAACTCTGCAGGAGCCAAACTCGCTTAAGCAGCCGCTGCAGCTGATCGTTTTGTTCTTCGACCCACTGAAAGCTGGGCCAACTTTCCAACCGGTCACATCTTGATCAGTGTCGGGCTGGTCCTAAGGGGGGTAGGTAAATAATGTGGACCACTGAACGGAGGAGAGCAGACTTTGGCCTGCAGTCAGGTACTTCAAGCAAACCAATGGCCGCCTCATTGGTCCGGAGAGCTTCGGGAGGTCTCTCAAAACGACCATCGAGCAGAACTCACAGCCGCGTTCGCGTTGTCCGCTTCATCTATCGGCAGCTGGAAGGGACCAACTACAAATATCAGGCACCAGCTAGGTCGTCCGTCGCTCACAACCTTCTAAATGTCCTTAAGCTACGAAAAGTTGACCAATGCTATAGATTCCGATGCGGCTATTGCCCCTACACTCAGCCCGCGGAAAAGAGACAGCTGATCCGCCATTTTAGCCTGCCTTCCACCCCATAGCAACAGTCGTTTTTGACCGGGATAGCAAGCTCGGAACGGCCTCCTCCCGCAACCTTCAACTCAACACCGTCCAAGTCTCAGCAACTGGAGAGGGCTTAACAGCAGCGTTGCCAGCGCCCTTGAAGATGGCTTCCCCTGATCTTAAGGTCGACAATGATGAGCATGGAGTCTTTGCGAATGACGAGCTTTCCGGTTTGGATTCGGCTTTGTCGGCCCATGAATCGGCTTACCAGTCGTTACCGGACGCCAAAACCAAAATGTGCTTCGAACACATCCCCGCCTTCCCGCAATTAGCTCAGCCCTCGGCGTTCTCGCAGGTTACTCAACCCGACGAAGAGCAGCTTGCCTTTGCAGAACGACTTCTCCCTCCTTCGCCTCCATCGCACTGTTCCACCCTCTGTTTCGGACAGGAACCCAGCTCCAAATTTGAGTTCAAGCGTTGCGTCAATGCGATCTGGACACTGGCCTCTCTGCTGCTGCCAAGCCCGCTATCCGAGGCCCCCTCAGATTACGAGATGATTCACATTGAGGCCTATATCGTCTCTATCAATAGCAAGGTTACATTCAAGCTAACGGGCAAGACGATCGACACACTTATCGAGTACTACAAGAGTATTCGGCCTTTCGAGGGGCAGCAGCCTGAGTGCCATGAGCTGCACGAGGACTTCATCCAGGCAATCAAAAAACTTGTTTTCTTGGCCGACCTGTCGGTACTCGAAGGGCTCGATGTGGATGGTACAGGGGAGCTGCTTGACGGGAGGAGCGAACAGGTTAAAAATTTTATAGTAGGTCTCCTCTACTTCCGCTACTTTAGGGGAGATGGGTGGTGGGGATGGGACAATGAGCATTGAATTGATTTCTTGATTCATGTTCTCATCTTCATCTGGCTGTCTTATTCTGGCTGTTTCATCTGTCCCATTCCGGCTAACTGTCCCACTTCCCCGAGCCATACAATATTCCACAGCTCCGACTTCTGTATACGGGCCACGTATCAGCATCGCAACTCCCTCAGTGACGAGGGATGGCAGCGCCATCAGCTGGACTCCAAAGCCTCCCATTCTGATACTCAAGACTTCTTGTCAAAGTCGGCCCTGGTATCCTCTGCGTGTTACGGGCTGGGGCCGATGTGAGCCTCGGCATCCCTCGGCCGGGAACCACTGAGCGCCTTCCTCGATACGGAAGCTTTGGACCAGTTCGAGGCCACCTACGGCGAAATCACCACCTGGACCCGACAAAAAGAGAGGAAAAGTATAACTGGCCACGGAGGTTCCGTTTGCCAGTATGTTTGCGCCGAAGTGTGTTCAATTCAGAGACCCACTCAAGTGGTGCATACAAGTTCCCTGTCGTCCCGCTCCACCACCACCGTGATTCCCTGCTGTCCTCCGCTTCTTAGCGGCACTCGGTACCGTGCCGTCGTCCGGGCATTTCCGCTTGCGGGCCGGCTGAGGCTCCACCAAAGGGTCCCAGAAGCCAATGTGATCGGCGTCGTCGTGCACCGGATGGCCCGTAATGCCCCGGCCCAAAACCCTCTCAAGCCGCTCTTTCAGGCCAAGAAGAGGCCAGGCGCTGACTGGTGTATATGAAATATCCATGCCGGTGCTGCCGTCTTGTGCGCTTGGCCCTTTGTGCGGCATCATGAAACGCGTTAGAAAGGTCGCCGTCACTGTAGCGGTGTAGACAACGAATTTCGCGGCGTCGCCATAGCCATCGTGGGTAATGACCTGCAGCGTGATATCGCGAAACGGGGCAGGTGCGCAGCTGAATTGTCGGCCGCCGTAGGGCAGAGGTCTCGATACCGGCTCATCGTAAAAGTGGGCTTGTGCCATGGCGAGCAGGATTGCGATAATGTAGGGGTCGCGGTCGGCATCCGCAGGGAGCAGCCGATTCTTGCGGCGTGCGGCGAGCTGTGATCTGCTAACATACGCCAGAATCGGCTTGTATTCCGTACCTGGCTCTCGGGGCCTTTGATGAGGTACTGATGGCAGAGCCGGGACGGAGTCAGAAGAGGTATCTGTAACACTTACGGTGGCTCCATACACAAGGAATTTGAATGGTTTTTCTGAGTTGCCCAAAGTAAAGATTTAGTCCAGTGTAGGTCTTCAGGCGGGACAATGAAGGAAAGAACGTCAAAATGATATGCTTGATGGCGCTGTTCTCGTCATCGGAGGCTTGGTCAGGCAGCGATTCAAGCGTAGTTAGATCTTTCAACAACATCTCCCCCTTTCTAGATGGCTCAAGCCTTTCCATTGTTGTAGGTACCGGCTTGAAGATGACCGGATGCTCGATAAAGTGTATGCGAAGCAGCTGAGAATGGAAATCGGTCCAGTTGAGCGGGGAGACGAGAAGGCGCATCCTGTTATGGCTCAGAATGGTGTCGTAGAGCGAGCCCTGTTCGCGCCGTGCAATGCTCATGTTTGCGTGGTATGGTTCTGATCCTGTGCTGAGCGTTCGAGGCGGACTGAGAGGGCGAACGTGGACTTGCGGACAGGGAGTTATCAGCGGCCGGTTTGAAAGATTCGCCCTTGTTGTCCCAGGCTTACAGCTGGCGAGTCATGAGAAGCGTGTCCCAACTGGTTGCCCGAGCTCAGTACCCTGGGCAGAAGACATGTCGACCAGAGCGAATAGGGGCCGTTGGGGCCGAATCTGGCAGATCCCGGCGTTCACAAGCGTCAGAGAAACCAACCTCATCCGGCTGGCGGGCTCACAGAGACGTTGGAGAGCTGTCTGCTCCACCAGGGGTTCAGAGAGGCACTTTCTTGGCAACCAAGGGGTTGGGGAGTGTCTGCCAAGGGGCTGGAGAACCCGAAAACAGGGACCCCCCCCTCCCCCCGGGGCCCCCCGCGCTAGCTCACCCTAGCTGTCCTTCGGTCGATGGGCGTGCAGATATCCGCGACATGCATGCAGCAAGCAGGTGCCGCACACGTCAGGTCAGCCCATGGGATTTTCAATCCTACCCCAGGGGGTGTAAACTGATGGAATGGCTTGGACGCCTGCCTTCATGCCATCTCCCTGTTGGTGGGGAGCCCCTGTCACCGCAGCCAACTGCCAATATTCATCAGAACTGGTCGTCACTAGGCAACTCCTCAGCTCACGAAACACAACGCCATCGCATCAGCATCGCCATCCCTTCCGTCAATGATGGAAAATAAAACAGCCAGTGTTCGCTACGGGTGCAAACCTAGTGTACGCTACTGGTCCCCTTGGAAAAAGAAGTTCCGGGTAGGCCCTGCTTGGAGCAGTTACGATTTCGCACTTCGGTATCTTCACCAAGGATTCAAGCTTCTGTGGCTGGACGAGGTCTGCGAATTCCACGTTGATCACTGGAAGATCGGCAACTCGAATGTCTCTCTTACAACCTTCGGAGAAATGCTTCTCAACTCAGACCCCGAACTATCCATCGAATCGCTGACTGAAGTCCACTTTTGCCCCAGCGACGCAACGTCTCTTTGGAGAATCAGTTATAGGAACGCCTCTGCTACAAGCTTTGGAGAGAAACTTCTCGGCCTGGACCCTGAATTCTCTCTCGAATCACTTGCTCGACCCACACTTTTCTAGATGACCTGGCGGCTCTTCGATCCTTCTTTGCATCCGAATCTCTTCGGCAGAGACTGATCGAGTACCCTTACCGAGAAAAGAGCATCTACGGGCTCTACTCTTGGAAGTTCGAAAGTGATCCGGTGGATGATGATGAGCCACAGAGGGTATTGGTTCTTGCGATGTGGGCTGGCGGAGAACGGCTGTCATGGGAAACCGAGGAGATGCTACACAAGCATGAGAAGGATATGCTCCTCAAGTTTTGGGAGGCAAGGGGTGGACGGGATGAAGCACTCCGTCGGCGGCGTAGGATTAGCGAGGACCGGCCTTTTCTTGTCCATCGTATTGTGCGGAGCCGGAAACTTCAAGGAAGACGGCAATATCTTATCGAGTGGGCGGGATATGCGCGGCCGACATGGACTGAAGGACCTGTCTCTCGGCCATTAATCCAGGAGTTCAAACGTAGACAGCGAAAGCGGGGGAGGGGATTCTAATATACTCCCTCAATTGAGTTCTACTTCGTTTCTCTCGTTTTGTATTCTCGGCTCTTGTTTCTTAGACTACTTTGGTGATTGGTAAGGAAGTTGCCAAGCCCCTGTAACTGAGATGTCAAAGGGGGGTTCGAGGCGAGGAACAGAAATACAAGGCAGCTATGCCGGCCTAAGCTACAAATATGCAGGATTCCCCCCCTTCCTCTCCTTTATTCTCTTTCGCTCTGCTTGTTACCAAATAACTTGCAGCAGCCACCATGGGAGGCTTCTATGTTCTCGACCCTTATACAGGGCAGAAGACAGTCGAAGACCTTGAAGAAGCTATCCGAAAATCAAAAGCAGGTCCACTTCCCAATAAGTGTCCTCCGCTAATGCTGACTATATATAGTGCGCTGTAAACTTCATGGGCCGGAAGACGATTTCACTCAGCGAGCACAAACTTGATCTTAGCGACGACACGAAGACAGTGGCGAAGATTGCAAGAAAGTACGGCATCAAGATTTACTACCATGATCTCGACGATGAGTTCCGCGGCTCTGAGGCTGGACAACTCGACAAGAGTTTCAAGATTCTTGACCCCTTTTCCCATATTGTTACCGGCGGAACGGTGACCTATCGACGTGGTGCCGTGGATACGGGGCTACGGTCGCATTACGACGCTGAGTGGCCGCTACTATGGAAGTCCCTTTATACATCTCGGTTGCGTGAAGCCTATTCTGCTCATGTCGTGGTTGCCGGGGAGGAGGACGACGATGGAAAATGGACGAGCTACGCTCACTACCCCTTTCTTCTGAAGGAGGCTCATTCAGCATGGCCGGCAGTAGCAATGCTTGTCTATCTCGTTAGGAACTTCCCCTTGGACAAGGAGGAGCAGGATAGCATAGAGAGTGTAGCTGGGGCGCTGGACAAACACTTTCCGGGGTGGAGGACGTTGAAATTCCGGTGACCTGTGATCTTCCTACTCCTCGATAGGGCGTGAGCAAATCGCCCAAAAGAGCCTAGCTAGCCAGGTAGAGACAGGTCTTTGAGGGGACGCATCTATCTTGTAGCGAGGACCCGGTTGCTCCGACCTTCGAGCCGAGAGTTTCCAATGGCAAGCAAGCCACACTCTCCGACCCCCTGTTAGTGCAGACACTCTCCAACCCCCTGTTAGAGCAGACAGCTCCCTTAATGTCAGACAAGCCTCGGATCCACTGTTAGCGAAGACACTCTCCGATTCCCAGTACAGAGGCCCCGCGCCGCCACCGGCCCGCCACCAGATGTTGTTTCCCTCTTTGACATAGAGACTCCCTGCACCGAGCAGTTTCCCAACCCCCAACCTATCCTCCTTTTGGTGTTAGATGGCCGGCGTCTGGGCTGCAGGAGTGAGCGACTTGGCCCCGTCAATCCCCCACGACAGGGCGATAGCGGCGCGCTGCTCTACAGGGGGTTTGGACAGTGTTTGCGCTAGCATGTGGGCCTACACCAAGCGGCGCCTAGTGGGGCATTGCAGGGAGAGCTAAGCTGATGTTTACTGGAGGTCGGAGAGAGTCTGCGCTAACATGGGGTCAGAGGCTTGTCTGATATCTTGTCTGCTCTTACAGGGGATCGGAGAGTGAGGCTTGCTTGCCATTTGGAAACCCTTGGCTCCGTCACATAATCGCCGAGCAGTTTCCCAACCCCTGCAAGCTCAGTTCCGGGACAACGGTACCGGTACCTTGCCGATTCTGAGTGCTCACAAGGACCTACCCCAGGCCAGATCCCGCTTGGTGGAGCCCGCGCAACCATACAATTCCCCACGGCAGTGTGATAGCGGCGCGCGGCGGAGGGGTGCGGTCGGGGACGTGTGGGGATTGCGGCTCAAGTGGGGCCGTGGCGGCGGAGTGGGTCCCGCGTAAGAATGCTGGGCGGGACCGGAAGCACCAACAAAGAGAAGAGCCTCCTTGAAGTTGGCCCCCGTCCCCCACGTGATGTCATGCACCGTACCAATGGCGCCGTTGACCAAGCCAGTGTCGGCTGATGGAGATTGCCCACGTCGGCGGCCTCCACCTCGTGGGCTCGGGGGCCGGTGTTCTCGGCAACCACTTGATAGCACGGCTCGTGAAGCCCCTCAAGATGCGTCAGGTTGTACTCGTTGACACGGCTGTTGAGACGGTAGCTGTCTGCTCCACCAGGGGTTTGGAGAGGCACTTCTTGGCAACCAACGATCTGTACCTGCTCTGCCAAGGGGCTGGAGAAGCCCAAAACAGGGCCCCCTTCCGCCGCGCTAGCTCACCCTGCAACTTGAGCGGCGTATCTGATCGATGCCTTGTTTTGAGCTCGATGTCCAGACGCTTGCTGCAGGACCTCAGGGCGGTCGACCTGGCCCATATAACCGGCCTGTGAAGGGGTCGGGCAAGATGGGTTTCTTCTCCCCAGAAGCCGCTTTCCGCACTCCTTAGCCAACGCCAAGACACCCACAGAGGCCGATTCTGTCAGAGGCACAAGCAAATCGAGAGACCCTGAATTTCTTTCAACTCCGATTCACGGCCCATGGCCTTCCCCGAAGCCTCCCCCAGGGGCTACCCTCGTACGGATGACATGGGCCAGGTCTCACTCACTGCCTGCGAGTCCTTGACGAATTGCTAACCCTTTCTTAGAGTGTCCTATCCAAAGCCCCAAGCCTAGATGCATTGATTGAACACTGCAAGGAAAAGGGTGAGAAGGTTGAAATAACGGGTCACGGGCCAGGTCAGAGCTCTGCAAGGAAGATTCGGGTACAGGGTGGAGGCAAGTACGTCAATGTCGAGGAAGACATCTTGAGCTCAACACCACTAGGGAGAGAGTTACTCCGCAATTGGGCTCATGGTCCGACTGGCAGCCGGTTTGTCGGCGTTGTGGATCATGGTGACGGACAAGGGGCATGGTGGGAGACGATATCGATATTGCTGAACCAACTTGCTCATCACTGTTTGGTATGTATTCGCAACTAGGAGAAGAAGCAGACGCTCTCGCGCCTCAGGATATTAAGCTGGCCTGGCATGTGTCTAAAGGGTCCCAAGTCCTCTACGTCTCTCAGCTGGAAGCGACGTTGTCGAGCCGCTATCCAACAGCAGCGGTAAACTTGCTTAATAATTCCGCTAATTGGGACGCTTGATCATGTACTCCCATGGACAGTCCTCCCTCGGCATGCACTCGCCTATACGGGATCATTAGAACTACGTCCCAGATATAATTGAGAGTACCTAAGAACACGTACCGCAAAGCTCCTCTGCTTTATCCTCAAAGTACGCGATGTTGGGTTGACACCTCTTGTGGGTGGTGGTGTAGTCCCGGCACCACTTGGAGGCAATCCACCGGAAGTGGCCGCACGAGTACTCTCGTTGTATATAATCGCACATGCCGAGTGCGTGAGAGTATTGGAGGGCTCGAGGCGCTGGCCAACGACGGGTAGTTTGAGAGATGCTAATAGTGGTAATGAAAAGACTTTGAGGTGCTGACGATGACAGACGGGAAGGGGAGCGTGTTGTTTATCTAAGTGCAAGGGAAGGAGAGGTTCGGGTCTTATGTAAATCGAGTATACTTCCAAGACCGAACTGGATATAGAGATGCGGATGTCTATGCCAGTCAATCCCCTCGGGGAGCACGGTTCGTGTGCTGGAACCTGACTTTTTACGCCCCTGCTCGCCGAAGGACATAGCTGCCCCAGGGTCAACAATGCCAAGGCAAGCAGCATCCACGAGCTGCAGGTGCCCCGCTGCCAAGCCGGGTATGTTCCCCAGGCCTGCGCTGGGGTTCCTGCACGCATCGACCAGGCGGTCATAGGGATCGAATTCGATCATGGCGGCTATCTGTTGGGCAAGGTCCCGTGCGTCCTCGATGCAGGAAGATATCCTGTAGGCGATGCGGTATAGTGGCAGCAGACGGGCAGCCACGGCAAGAGGAAGTTCAGGGTGCGGTCGGAAATCCGCTTAGTAGCATGCAGGTGACCTTCTGACTTTCCTGCACCGCGGTGCTAGGGCAGGAACTTTCTGGCTAACCATCGAAACCACTCCTACGGGGCTATCTCAGCTTGCTCAAATTGTTCGTTCAGGCCCCGGCGATAGCGCTGTGATCTCAGTTCGCCCGGGAGTATGGTTCAGGGAAAGCTCAGACAAGGGGTTGAAGTGTGTGCTCTGACAGGGGGGTCGGAGAATGAGGGCCTACACCAAGCGGCGCTTAGTGGGGCTTTGCAGGGAAGCTAAGCTGATGTTTGCTGGGGGTCGGAGAGGGTCTGGGTCAGAGGCTTGTCTGACATTTTGTCTGCTCTAACAGGGGGTCGGAGAGTGTGGCTTGCTTGCACCCCCTGTTGGAGTAGACAGCTAAGGTGCCTACATTGGGACTCAGCTCGTAGTGTCCGGAGCAGTGCTCGCGGCCATCCTGTCCTGGTTGAGGAAAAGTGATCGACTGTCGCACAGTGTTGAATTCATCGTGATAGTAGAGGGACGGCGTGAAGGATATTTCGTACAAATCACCAAGGATTTGTGACCTGGGGGCTACTCCGCTCTGGCACCGAGACAGGATAGCCTTCCCGGTCGGGGCCCACTCTGGTCAAGAGGTTCGGAAGGTCTTCACTTTCCTCCTGACAACAACGTCCCTGCCGTTGTTCAAGCTCTGGAATGCCCACGCCCGCTTATTACAACACATCCATTGTACATCTCATTGCGGATCTTGATGGATGAAGAAAGAAGGGAGCCTCGCCCTGAGCGAAGCCCGCATGCAAACCGGCGGAACCATACCACCATTAGGTCCATGGAGGGCAGCTTTCGCCGCTTGACGCAAAGCGTTGAGGAGCAGGAAGCCTACAAATCGACCATGATCAATTTCTACCATAGCATGAGTTTGCCACTGCAGCGAGACTTACGGGAGTGCAAATCACTTCCATCTCTTCAAACGTAAGTCCTAGCGCTTTCTATGTGAGGGGAGGAATTTGACAATTTCTCGCAGATACCGGTGACCGGCCGTACATGTGCATGAGATGTTGATAAAGGAGGCCTTCTTCTTGAAATTGAAGTTGCATTGTGCCCGTGCCAAGTCCGTGCCGTGCCAAGTGCTACATAGAAGATTCGTCCTTGTCTTCCTCTTCAATGTTATCCTTAGAGAAAAAGTTTGTGACAATATTGTCGGGGGTACGAAGACCATGCAAGTACTATCTGTGGGAATTTAGTTTGTACTGTGATGTATCTTGAATGTAGGAAGGCTACCCTACCTATTTCGTTTTTTGTATACCTTCCTTCGTTCCAGGCGACCTGGAAGAGCTCCTCGACAATACGCTTTTTCTTTGCGTTGCTCGGCCTCTTAGTATCTCCGAAGAAATCCGAAAGCGACTCGGAGTCGATGGCGGCGGTCTTCAGTCTCTCGATGTCGATATCCGGCTCCCTGATGTCGGGATGTTGGTTCTTGCTGACCAATCTCAGGATACAGGCTAGAAGATGGGCGCGCTATATCTCCTGATCAGACGCTGTACCTGAATAGAACCCAATAGGGCAAGTGTATACCTTCGTCCGACTGGTCTGCCGGGTCAATATAGCGCACCCTGTCCTTCGGCCACCATCCTGGGGCGGAACTGTCGCTGCCAGTGTACAGGTTCGGTGCCATCAGCTTCACAAAAGCCTTTGCAATCTCCTCGCAAGCGGTTTGCGGGATGGATTTAAGGCGCTGCTTGTAAAATCCGAACACTGCCATGTCGTCGCCGATCACAAGGCTCACCTTGCTCCAAGAGATGACACAAGGCGCGTCATCGTCCATGTGGAGGCGCGACATGCTTGGCTTGGACTGTTTTCTGTGTCTGGTGTCTTAGGGGCTCCGAATCAGAAGGAGATAGGAAGTGTAAAGTTGACTGGCCTAAAGTTGACAGAGAGGACAAGGAGAATTTGCCTGCGGAGGATGAAGACAACAGCTGGCTGGGCGCAGAGGAGAAGTCCACTGGACCCGAGACAGCAAAGGGAGGGCTCGCATGCGCCTCCCGGAAGGAGCCAATTCTTGTGGCGACCGGTGGTCGGTAACCTGCAGGGGTGGAGGCGTGGAGCATGATCAAGGGGCACTCGATTGAGTAACCGACCCCGTCCCTGTTTGATATCTTCTGCTCGTGCTGGCTTCAGACATGCAACAAGGGGCCCAGCCTGCAGTACCCGGCCTAGCAAAAAGGGAGACGTGCATACGCCGGTGTAGTCTGGCGTAGCTGCAGTCGTGTCTGTCCTGCTGGGGTGCTCGAGCCAGGCCCGTTGAGCCCAAGCCCGGGCATGGCTGGGTGCAGAGGCACCGGGACGGCAGGTGACAGGCGCAACAGGAGCTGGCCCGCGGGCAGGGTACCAGGGAGCACACCGAGACGAGCGTATATATTCATACCCCTCTCATAGCATACGCCTCGCCACTCAAATCTCCTCCCTGATAGGTCGGAGCTTCTCGGCCCTGTGCCTGCCCATGCAGGGGCGCCGAGGTACTTCCCGGGCATTGCTCGAGCTCCGCCGAGTTGGCGATGTGAATGACCCGGACGACGCAGAATACAGGCGCTTGCAGCAGATCCAAGCCAGGAAATTGCCCAGAGCGCTCTGTCACCCCGAGTTTACGGGACTTCTCCCTTATGCTCTCTTCTGAAGATGGTTGCCAAACCCATCAACATTGACATCCACGAAGACCGAAAGTACGAGTTCAACAACAAGTATTTTTTCATAGCCCTCGGATCAGGGAAGGTTCTCTACCCAAGCTACATGGTATGTGCTATCCTCTTTGAAATGTCCCTCCAGGCTTCTAAACGTTCAAGGCTCGTGCAGATCGGGGGGGCGAAGGGGAATGGTACGGCAGATCTTTACCGGAGGGTGTTGAATTCCGGCTGTTGGGTGACGCTTTGGAGTCAGACAATGAAGGGTTTGTGATTAAAAGTATAGAACTAGAGAACCAAGGTGATCATGGAGATAATGACAAGGAGTGAGTTGCTGATGGACTGGCCCCGGGGCCAAGTCCACACAGACATCGAAAAGGCAAGAAAGTAGGAAACGCAGCGCTACTAGGCCTCTCCCAAAGGCTTCATCCCGAATGCTGTTAGGACAGGAAAGTACGCATGGACCCGGGGGTTCTGGAATTCTTTGCGGACCAAAGCGCATAGTATCGAGACTTCTTTAGCATCCCAACCCAGGCCGTGCATAAGCAAAGCAGTAGAGATAGTTTCAAGCTCTCTCCCAAAGGTCAATTGAGACCAGCGCCCGAGCTCCCTCAGTTTGCGGTTTTTCGCCCAGCCATTCGTAGGCCACTTCTGTTCAACAACATCGACATGCGTAAAGCCCACTTCAACAAGCATCTGTCGATACCGAGAGGCAAGATGGATGGGCCGGCCCATGTTGTCGGCGGCTCCGGCAAGAAGTCTTGCCCAGGTGAGCAGTGGGGAATCACCCTCGAGAGTCCCGTCATCACACTTGAGCGTAAGGAGTATGTCCTTGACCTCGAAAAACCCGCCAGGTTGTAGATGTCTAGCGCGCGCAACGTTAGTCAAGCAATATAGATTTATAGGGGTACCATACTGAAACGCCTGCTCGAAGATGTTTATAGGATCTTTAAAGCATCCACCCAGCATGCGACCGTGGATAAAGTCAAAGGGTTGGCCCCACGTCCACTCCAATTCGGCATCGTCGATCTGGAACTCGCAGTTTGGAGGCACCAAGTTGGGCTGGATAGGCGAGATATCCACGCCTATCACATACGCTTCCGGATGCTCATCAGCAAACTCGATAGCCCATATGCCAGTGCCGGTGCCAATGTCAAGGACACGTTGAAAAACCTCTTGAGGACAGAGGAGTAGTTTTTCGTCGTGTGACACTCGCCACTGCTCGTGAAGCATGTCGAGGCGCTCCTGCTCTTGCTCGTCGTTGGGCAGCGGGTACTTGTCGGGATCGTGGTATTTGCGACCTTCCTCTTCGACGACGGGTATATCACCGGGCAAAGTGCATGTCGACTCTCCATCCTGGGTCCATCATCAGTCAAGATGCCATGAGCAGGGGAAGGCGTCGCACCAAATCATCGATTGCGGAGTCCGTGCCACCGCCGCCGGACACCATGCTTGTGGCCGTTGACTCATCGTCCTACATATCTGCTATCAGCAGAGTCTTAGCTGGTGGGAGGAAATGCGTACGCTCGCAAGATCTGTGCCATCGTCCCACAACGGCTCTAGGGTATCAGTTCGTAAGGACTCCCCAGCGAGTGGCGGAGTGTGCTCTTCGGCCATGGTGGGATATTATTGAGGCACCGAAGGGGAACCGTGACGGTCAATGTCAGCGAGGATGTCATCGAGAACGTCGCCGAAAACATCAGGGAAACAATGAACACAAGCAGCAGGAAAAGACAACAAGGGTTGTAAACAATTATACCTCACCCTCTGCAAGGTCGGCAGCAAGATCGCCAAACTACCCTGTCATATGCCTGACTGTGGAAACCGTCGGGGATACAGTGGGGACCCTGTCCAATGCTGCATCTGCCACCATTCCCAATCCGCTGCCACCGCGCGCCGCTATCACCCTGCCGTGGGATTGATGGTTGCGCGAGCTCCACCCCAAGTGGGATCCGGCCTGGGTCTTGTATGGATGGTACATGTAGGTACTTGTAAGCACTCAGGATCGGCAGGGTACCGGTTCCGTTGTCCCGGAACTGAGAGGAAAACTTCCGAGAGTGATCCACACAGCTCTTCGCCAGTTACCCGTCCAGGTCGCCAGCCATCCAACACCAAAGCACAAGCAAGCCACCCTCTCCAAACCCCTGAGCAGACAGGTTCCCTGATGTCAGACGAGCCTCTGCCCCCTGCAGCGCAGACACTCTCCAACCCCCTGTTAAGAGCAGACAGGTTCCCCAAAATGTCAGACAAGCCTCTGGAACCCTGTTGGAGCACACACTTCAACCCCTCCCCTGTCGAACAAGACACACCCCCATACTCCCTGGCAACCTGAGATCACAACTCTAGCGCCGGGGCCAGAACGAAGAATTTGAGCAAGCCGAGAGGGCGCCATAGGAGTGGTTTCGATAGGCAGCCAAGAAGTTCCCTGCAAAGCCCCACCTTTCGCCGCTCCTGTATGGTAAGCCTTGCTGGCCGACCAATGGGAAGCATGACGACAGCAGCGACAAGGGCGAAAGAGTTGCATTGGTGTAACTTACAGAACTCAGCTCGACCTAAAAATCGTCGTCTGGAGGTGCTCCCTTGCGGCGTGCCCTCAATTTGCTCTCCTGTTGTCGTCAAAGATAGGTACATTGTATAACTACCTATGCACCATGGTGTCTCGGTCAAAAAGTGCAGGAATAAGCTGCAGCGACAGCCTTGTCGGCTTTGCCACTACAAAAGACGTCATCAAAACACCAAGTGCACCTGCGTTTTAAAACTTCGCACCTCTACCTCGATGCTCGAAGTTTGTCGATGGACTGTCCGCGCTCCGACAACCGATGCCAGTTTGGACATCTGACAGGGTGTCACATGACAACGCAAGCGACTTTTCCCGACAGTTTATCCACAATCTGCTGTGCCCCGCACAATGACCAATGCCCCTCCATTGAAACGGGCTGCGAGGAGATCTCGTCTGGCGCAAATCGCGCAAACGTTGAGCACATCTACCAGCACTCAGACTTCATCAGACAGCGCTGTTCTGGACATTTTGGGAAGCTTGATATTGTAACCATGCCTCTGGTACGTGCTTCTTGCCTGTTGCTCTGCTGCTATTGCTGATTTCGAAAGGGGGACAACGCACTACGCGGAATATACGAAGCTATCCCGTACAAGGTTTTTCCGGCGGTGGAGACGGAGAGAGTGATATGGTGGCAACCTCAGAATTCTTTTGGCAACGGGAAGATTAAAATTGGGGAGGAGGAGCTTTCTATGGAAGCTTTACGAAAAGAAGATCGAAAGGCTGTCCCGGCGGGGCAAACTGTCACAGTGGGTTCGATGGATGTTAAGTTTGAATGAAGACTGCTATATAAATATACCAGCTAGCATCGACCCGACGTGAACAGACTCTGGATGAGGGAGTACCACTATCTTCATCTGGCAAACTTGCTGGACCTCGACAGACACGCCAGGAACATTCCCGAGGATCGTGCGCACCCGGTCAGCCGCATAGGCGCAAGATTGTTCATCAGCTCTGCCGAGACAAATATCCATCTCAGTGGCCATGTCGTCGTAGATATAAAAGTTTGCAATGGCAGAATAGCCGCGACCGCCCACGAACTCTTGCTTCGACTTTGCCATGGCGGAAATAAGACCCACTCCAGGAAAAGCCGCCTCGAACATGTCGCTGGATGGCCTAAAGAGAATATGTACGACGCTCCTTTCGGGCTGCGGATCGGCGGTTGGCAGAGCGGGGAGAGGATGGGAGGCGCGGGAGTCGATGCCGTGCGGCTGGGACGTCGGGCTCTCGCAAGGGCTGCGAGTCCAGTTCCCGTCGCCGTGTGGGGTTGGCGGCGGGGCCTGACCGAGTCCTGGTTGAATGAGGAACGGGGCAGCGGCGCGGAGATCGGACGATATAACGGGCGCTTGAAAGGCGACAGATGAAGCATCTGGCTGTGTCAGCTTATGGCGGAAGAATTGCATAGGCAACCCTACCATCTGCCTCCACTCTCGGCCGTTTATGGCTCGACCTGGGCACCGGGAGGGCGTCTTGAGAATCCGTGGAAGTGGTACCGGCGTAGGGCTCGCCAGTGCCCGAAGGTTGCGCTGCCATCGGCGTAGCGGAGGCAGGGGCGGGGACGGCGGAGGCCGGAGGAGCCCCAGATCCCGGCGCATCGTCCAAATCCCCGGCAGCCCGCTGGATAGCATCAACAGCGTCTAGATCCTCGTCAGTAGCGATGTAGTATAAAAGTGGGAAGCCGTACCATTGCGGAACTTCCAGTATACAGCGCTGCTACTGACAACCCCGAGCGACGCGTTCCACAGGTCTAGGTTGTTGTACCAACATGTCTCCGAGATGAGACTCGGGGCTTTGGTACAAAGCGCCTTGATAGCGGAGGTGGAGTTGGCCCTGATGTCTCTGAGCCGAATAAGTACACCGAGAGCAACAAGCGTTGCGGAGTCCAGCTGTTGGAAGGCGTGTTTTTTCGGTTTGTCTCCGTACTTGACGCGACCATGGCCGAATACGAATGTGATGAATGTGCGGGCGTTGTGGATGTCAATCCTCTCGAGAGAGCGATCCTTCGGATGGCGTAAAAGTGCTGCGTGGATAATTCGTTGAGCTCTGTCACTGCTGTCCGCCATCTGGGTTGCGAAGTGCTGCTGAACAGGGGAGTGAGGAGGTGTCGGAACGAAGCTGCCTTGATGGCTGCATTCAACGGACCTCGGTGGTTGATTGGTGCCGTCGTCGTCTTCGTTGATGGAAGTGGTAGGCGTAATAGGCTGAAGTGGCTGGGCGACCTTTAGCAGTTCGGCACTGCGGTAGGCCTCGAATTCGTCAAAGGCGTTGAAATCTTCGTCGGGCTCAGCCAACAGCTCCTTGGTGCCCTGGAAGTATGGGAGTAGGCCGTGGATGGCCATGGTAGCCGTAAACTCCCGGTCCCAGGAGGGCCAATCGGCAGGCCCGTTGAGGATGACAATGGTCTTGGGCGTGGCTTCAGTGGAAGACGACATCGTAGGTTGGGAATGGAGGGCGACAGTCGGTCGTCGTTAGATGGGTTCCGTTCGGTAGCTCAATGGGTGGTCGAGCGTTGCGCAGCGAAGCGTTGCAAAATGAGACTCTTAATTGTTGGAACCTGCAGGGCGACGACCGCTGAGATATGCGTTGGAAGAAGCTATTCCCAGTCAAAGCAGTGTATCGATTTCTTAAGGTGGTAAAAAGTGATTGATTTTTCATGCTGTTGATGGGCATGGGAGAGGACTAAGTATGTAAGGAAGAGGGGTTGCAGTGCTGGCACCAATCAACCACCGAGGTCCGTTGAATGCAGCCATCAAGGCAGCTTCGTTCCGACAGGAGGAAGCGGTGAAGTTGACGGGGTATCTCCAACGTCGTCTGCCACGACAGGGAGCTGGATAACACACACTTACACGTGTAGTTGTCCAGCCCCCGGTTAGAACAGGCACGCTCGAAGACCCTGTCGGAGCAGACACCAGCCAACACTCTGCCGATCTCATGGGTCAAGCCTGGCATGCATACGATATCTCTGGGGGTCGGCGGGGCTTGGCGGAATTGGGTTCAGGAGCTTTATCCTTGCGCGCACAACACGCAGCCTAGCTCCAAGGGCTGGGTCGCTCATCATTCTCGTTCCCTGTGTACTAACCTTTTCAGTACATGACACTACCTTGGTGGGACTGCAATATCCTGGTTGCTTTATGCACCATGTTGCCTCTGTGCAGACTGCCGCTGCCGATTTCAGAGCATTCTCCAAAACGACAGAGGTGCAGATCAGACGATGCCAGACTCAGCTTGAAGTACCTGTTGCGGTCGTGATGTGTTTACCTCGCCGCCCTTGTCTTTCTTGCTACCCACTTGGGTGGTGGGAAGTTTGGGTGAGAAACCATCGTTTATGGGCCTGTCATATCACCACGTTGAGACCCAGCTCGCACGTGCGCTCCACATAACTTAGACAGTGTCGGGAGCAGTGCTCGCGACAATCCTGTCTCCGTTGAGGAAAAGTGATCAACTGTTACACAGTGTTGATCATCTTGCTGAGGGGTGTGAACAAGAGTAAGCAAAAAATGAGGGGGTGAGCAAGCGTGAGCAAATAACGACAGCTAGAGCAGGCGTGAAGGGAAGACGGGCATACTGCTGTGTCACAGCCCAGCTGCGAGTGTCAAACCACTCACCCTAGGCGTGTGGACAGTCCAGGAAATTCTCGATGTGTAGCCGTGCATGCCGATGCTGCAGGCGATGCCTCGTATGTCCCTGGACTCTTCAAGCGGGGGCAGGTAGACTTCTTGGCAACCAGCGATGTGTCTGCTCTGACAAGGGGTTGGAGGGTTAATCATCATGTCCTCGACCAATCATGCTCTCTGCCACAAAGGCGCCTTACAAACACATGAGATTGGGACGGGGACTGTCCTTTTTGTTCGCGGCCGAAGAGCGAGCGCCCCAGAGTCTCTTTACGCCCTTGACCGGGCTTCGTTGGTGATTGGGCCCTTCAGCTCAGTGCATGTCTTCACCTATAAATGTGGGACTCCCCTCTTTGCTCTCTTGTTCTTAAGAAGCCAATCCTTGATCACTTTTATCTATCACCAATTCACTATCGCGCTTTGCTTTCATTCTCAGCATCTCAGCATGGTCACTTTACGGGACCTTCTACTTCAACCTGCTTTCCCAGATGGCACTGCTGCATTTCACACCTTAACAGGAGCCGGTGAACCCAGTTTGTCCCACAAGAGCTGGGTAGCGGATTATCCGGAGGTTCTACCTCAAGCTCTTCGAATTTTTGAGAACCCTGACCAAGACACCATCAACACCATATTTGGTGACGAAAACGCTCTGGACCATCGTCTCTTAACCAAGGATGTGATGCCCCTCAACGACACAGTCGAATGGTTCCAGAAAGAGGGCGACAGTGTCAGGGCATTCTACACTCATATTTCACACCCCATCCAGCTCGCCTTCCATACCAACCTTGGCCCTCCATTCATCATCCAACGGTCAGAGTCAGGACCTCTTGGCCAAACCCAAGTCTCGCAGACCGTCGACTTCAGTTGGGGATGCGGAGAGTCTTCCCTTATGATAGGGGAGCTCAAGAGGCATGGGATAATCAACACTGGAGCATGGATCACAAGCCCAAGGCGGCCAGATGGCAATCGTGTTTGGCTCGGAAAGGAGTTGAGAGCGTAAGTACAATGAATAGTCTTAGAACAGGTTGAAGCACCTAGCTAACGGATGTACAGATACTGCCATAAATACAAGTGCTTCGCCGCGTCAGGATTTGATGGCCGACACCTCCTGATCCTCGTATTCCAGGCTCAAACTGTTCGACAAATCGGGGACCAAAACTGCCCAGTCACTGGCCTTCTTTTCGCACATGGCTGCCCAACATTGCAGTACGGCCTCTTCCGGACAGTGACCCAGCAGATTGGGAGAATGCAAGCTACTACGGCTCCGCCAGTGACCTTGGATGGTTATGTTCGCAGATTCAGGTATTGGTCAGGGGCACCTTATTGGGTGGATGGGAATAACGAGTATGAAGTACATCCTACCGGCTATATAAGAATGTTGGATGTGAGTGGCGCATGGTACTGGGCTCATCTAGATGGGCAGCCTGTTCTGTATGAGGATGGTGGGGTTGTTTGGGATACCGCTGGACTCGGGTTGTGATCTTGTAGCTTCCGACCCCCGTTTAGTTTGGTGCGAATAAAATGGCAGATTCTTTTCGTAAAGCCAAGAAGCAATCGGTGCGTGACCCTGCCGGGTGCCTGCAGCTGCACATGCACCCCGGACGCTGTCATAATAGTCCTATCGCGTTTGGGCTCTCCCCGAACAGCCCTGCTGAATGGTTGGTTTGCGGCAGGATCCCGTTTGTTTGCCTGTGTTACGTCCCTTTTGTTATATAAGCCTTGAACCCAATCCATCTCACCTCGTTTCTCTGTGTTTCGACTTAATTCTTATACCCTAACCCTAACTCTATGCCTCTGCAAGATGGAAGACAACGAAAACATCGAGATCAAGGTATATGCTCTGGCGTCTGAAGGCTCGTGGTGGCTCTCACTAATCCTGGTTAATTAGGACATACAATTCGGCTTCCGACGTTTTCAAGCACCTGCAAAACGAATCTACGCGAATCGACATGTCTTTCTCTTAGATGTCCCGCCAAATCCAATTGCTTCCTGGGTGTCCTCCTGGACGCCACAGCTCCTTCGCTCCTGGCTCGAGCGATTGTTGCCAGAGTGGTTCTTGCCGGCAACCGTCGTCCTAAAGGAGCGAAAACCCGAGAAGGCTGAAGAATACGAAAACGAGATTGATACATACCAACGGCTTTATCCACTCCAGGGCCAGTACATCCCACGAATGTTTGGTGAGGTTGCCAGCTACAACCCCAGCAAGACAAGATATCGGATCAGCAAGCGGCCAACTCCAGCTATCCTCTTGGAGAAAGTCGAAGGAGACTCACTACACAGTCTTCCACCCGAAGAGCTAGGGGATCCTCTCCTTCTAGATCAGCTTCAGGACATGTACCGCCTCCTTACGGAAAATGGGGTTGTTCATGGGGACGCCAAGCTTCACAACTTTCTGCGTGACAGGATGGGGAAGAGGATCGTTGCCATCGACTTCGAGCTTTCCCACCCTCTCCCTGACGACGTGACGAATGACAATGAGTTGGAAACTTTGATAATCGAGATTGAGCAACGAAGGGACGCACAGTCTATCGGCCCAGCACCCGGCTTCAGTACATGCTCCAAGAGTAATCTCCCTTCAAAAGACCAACTCCGCCCTGTCCAGTTTACGCCCGGGCGCCGCACGGAACCTACGAATTTTGCGGAATGGTGGGCCAGGTTGGCTTCCGTGCCATCGTCTGCTTCTTAGAGCATCACCCCCCTTACTTCTTTCCTATCCCTTGCGTTAGCAACAAAGCGAGCAAATGACGCCATCTGCGGGGCACGGCTCTGCCCAGGACCAGCCTTCCGAAAGCCCGGAGTCTGGAATGCAGCACACCCGAATCGCATTTCTCGGAGGCAGCTCTTGGTGCTGCCTGCGCGGGTACACGGGCGAGATGGACAGACGAGGGGTGGAGGTTTCTGAGGGAACGGAGATCCTGGTGAGGAAGAGAAAAAGGGAGAAACGGGGGGATACTGTTCAGGGATCCGAGAAGCAGGCAAGAGTTGAGTGAGGTAGCTGAAAGTGTAAAGATAGGGGGCATGTTTCACGGTGTGGACCCGCGCGACTGGCCTGTCACATCGCATTGCCACTGCAGCGAGATTTACGGGAATGCAAATCATTTCCATCTCTTCAAACGTAAGTCCTAGCGCTTTCTATGTGAGGGGAGGAATCCAGAGCGCCTATTTACGCACATTGAGAACTTGATCACCTCTCCGACTTGTTCCACCGTTTGTTCAGCTCATGGTACCAGTGCGGGCATTCCTTTGGTTTGCACTCTCCGCAACTCTCGATCCTGTTTTCCGTTAGAATGAGTCCGCTCACCAGCCCGTACACACATGCCTGTACTCGAAATGTGTCACGTTGGGCAGGCGGCATCTCTTGTGCGTATAAGTATAAGTTTGGCACCACTTTGACGCAATCCAACGGAAATGGCCGCAATAATATTCGCGCTGTACGCGTTAAAATAGGAATTCTAATTAGTGGGAGTGTACTACTTACCTGCGTGAAGTCACACATTGCTGGCTCCTGCGATTCGCCGTGGATTTGTACAATGTGTCCTGCAGGGAGGCATGAAGAGTTGAAGGGAGCACCGAGTGAGCAGACTTGAGGGAGCGAACTTGAGAGTAGGTATATATACAACCGACTCACGGAAGAGGTGGTATGGGGGTGTGTCTTGTTCGAGAGGAAAGGGGTTGAAGTGTGTGCTCTAACAGGGATCCAGCGACTTGTCTGACATTGGGGAACCTGTCTGCTCTAACAGGGGGTTGGAGAATGTCTGCGCTGCAGGGGGCCAGAGGTTCGTCTGACATTAGGGAACCTGTCTGCTCAGGGGGTTGGAGAGGTTGGCTTGCTTGTGCTTTGGTGTTGGATGGCCGGCGTCTGGACTGCAGGAGTGAGCGACCTGGCCCCGTCACTGGCAAAGAGCTGTGTGGATCACTCTCGCAAGTTGTCCTCCAAGCTCAAACGCAGAAGGAAATAGGTCCTTAAGGGATAGCTTGCCGCTGAGTACTGAGCAAAGAAGAGTCCTCGTCTTTTTCCGAGCTCGTTGTCTCATGCGAGGCACAGGGAGCAGGTTGAACAGACGTGTTTAGAACGAAAACGAAAAGAGAAATAGAACCCCTCCAACTCTCCCTCAGTGTCCCATCCATTCTTCCCGAGTGCAACCCGGCCCACGTCTCACCTTTCCGCTAACCTCCATTTCCTCCCCCTCCTCCCCACTACACCACCTCTCCACCTCGCCCAACACGGGGACTTGGACCTAATGGTGGTATGGTTCCGCCGGTTTGCATGCGGGCTTCGCTCAGGGCGAGGCTCCCTTCTCTCGGGTGCGGCGTCATCCATCAAGATCCGCAATGAGATGTACAATGGATGTGTGGGCATTCCAGAACTTGAACAACGGCAGTACGTTGTTGTCAGGAGGAAAGTGAAGACCCTCCGAACCTCTTGACCGGAGTGGCCCCCGACCGGGAAGCCTACTCCTGTCTTCGGTGCCAGAGCGGAGTAGCTCCGACCTATCAGGGAGGAGATTTGAGTGGCGAGGCGTATGCTATGAGAGGGGTATGAATATATACGCTCGTCTCGGTGTGCTCCCTGGTACCCTGCCCGCGGGCCAGCTCCTGTTGCGCCTGTCACTTGCCGTCCCACTCGGTCAACATTCAATGCTTGAGTCTTGAACGTCAATTTTGCTCGAGCGAAGCAGAACGGAGAAGCCATGAGCCAACCACGCCGGCCGCTGAGTGGCAGGAATACGGCGGAGTATGCGCTTCGCCCAAAATGGGGAACTCCGATTTTCATTCCCCCGCTCTCTCAAGCGCGTAAAGAGACCCCAGGGCGCGCGCTCTTCGGCCGCGAACAAAGGACAGTCTCGGTCCCAAGATGTATGTAGCTTGCTTACCCGCCCAGAGAGAACTCGTCCCAAGGAGTGCCAACTGAGGAGCGCGCCGATCAGGCGCTAAGCCGCTTTTGGATTGCTTGCCTTGATAACAGGGGTTGTGCAGATGTGCCGAACTTTGGACAGATTTTGACAGACAGGCACAGGGGTTGAGCAGATTCCCCGGATTTTAGCGTGAACAAGCCGTTTGACAACCCCTTCTTGGCGCGGATGCTGGCTCGATCCGTCTTGGCGCTGGAAGCTGGCTCGGCCTTGGCTGTGCATATCCACGTGACAATACGGCTGCTGACCACTGTCTGGCGCGAGGGGCTGACATTCCAGGATCACAGTCAATACACTCTTCACCCAGGAACCATGGCTCAAATAGGTTCAGGGACTCTAGTGCTCTACCGCCCACCGTCTCCATCTTCGTACCGAACTGAGCTTCTCCGTTGTAACCGCCATGCAAGCGAAGTCGTCCCACTCGAGCCTGTCATTGAGGACGACCCTCGCGAACATCTTACAAGGCTCGCAAGCCTAGGAGGCGTTGTGCAGTTGACAAGACCACCCGATACCCAAAAAAACCGAAAGTGCTTCCGATGCTGGGCCAAAAAGTACAAGGTAGGATGTCCAGTTGCATACCTGAGTGCGTACGTCGGTTGAACAAATCCCTTAGTGCGAGACAGCGTCTGGGGATCTTCGGTGCACCCAGTGCACCAAGTTGCGAATTCCACCATTCATCTGCAGCTCTGAACGTGTTACAGACTTCAAGCCCTTCGAAAAGTGTACCTCTTCACTTCCCCTATGTTGTGTATAGGACCGAGCTGACCTAGATACAGGGAAGGACGAAACGTATCGGAACCTCTTCACAGGGGTGATTCCAGTCAGATCTAAGCCCCAGCGGATGGCAGAGCTCGTTCATTACACCCAAGGGCCTGCCCTCAAGGTGACCTGCTCCGAGTTCATCCCAATCTACGACCATCAGGTCCGCGCCTTGAAGAAAGATAGATCAGGATGGCACTCAGTCACAACGACGGCTTTTTGCCTGGCGGACAAAGTGGACATCGCCTCACACGTCAAGGCGAATGTTCCTCTTGCGTTGGACGAGGCGCGTAACAGCGAGCATGCAGCGAGCTTCGTCTTCAAACTGATATGGTTCTATCGCGACGTAAGTACTACTCCAAATCTTCCCTAGAGAATTAAATAAGATACTAATACCTAGATGAAGCACCCGCTTATCAATGACTGCCTCGAGATGTATACGGCCCTTCGACTGATTGTCATAGGGTGCCAATTCTCTGGGCTAGAAACGTTAGGCATGGCTGTTGTCGACAATCCAGTTTCGGCTTGGTACGGGCATATTCCGGTTCCCCGGATGGTAAAGAATCAGGTGAACCATCTCCTAGAGTTAAGGATGATCGAACTCGATCGAGAGATCACCGGCGCTCTTAGCCGTCTTTCCAGAGACCGACGTCAGTGGATTGTTGGTACCCTAGCAGTGTTCCTCCTCCTTCACATCCGAGAGCTCGATGCGGGACGGATTATTTATTGGGCCCGATACAAAGACTCTGTAACACCCTCAGCCTACCCAGCTGTTATGGAGGAGCTGCTAATAGCGTCTAGGCCGGTTTCTGGATACACCCCTCTCGACCTTCAGCGCTTATCGACGAGGGCGTCGCATCCTGCAATTCGTTGCTCCGGTATTTTCACTGTTTTCTGGGCCGTCAGCCACTCTGCCAGAACTGGGACGAGGAACGCTCGCAGAGGCTGGTGGGTAATGACGCAGAGCTTGTGGCCTCTATCAAGGCACTGCAATCCTGTGTATCTATGATGAGTAAGTGTCGATAGCTCGGTTTCAAAGGCATACACTTACCAGCGAGCAGGGCAAGCAGGCTGGATTGGCCGAAACGCATCTCAGCTGTATCAAGATGGGCACCCTGACAGTGTGGGACTCACTATTAGTTCGTTGATCTTCACAGAGATGGCGGATGCGCAGGTGAAGAACTTCCATTGATGATAGCAGTGCAATAGACATACTATAGCTGATTGCCGTAATACGCATCCTGCATCACTCTCATCCTGATGTCGCTCGCGCCTGCCTCCACAGCATGGTGGGCCTTCCGGAACTCCTCTCGTTCCCCGATGATCTCCTCCGCCCAGGCCTGGGTCTCAGGTAACAAGACCTTGGTTTTCACGTAGGTGAACTCGCTCAAATCCAGGCGCCCTTCCGCCCGACGTTCGTACTCCACCATTTGGAGGAGCAACTCGATCTTGTCAAGATCTTGGACAAAGCGGCTCTCTAAAGACTTAGCGTCCTCAAACTCCCGCCATAGGGCCATAATTTCCTGTCCCGCGACGCCAGCATTGACGTTGGCGAGCACCTTCCCCTCAATATAACTCATCGTCTCGGTCTCTCTTCGATGCTTCTCCGTCTTTGGGACACCGTCTGCAGGCGTCAGGTCACCGACCAGTAACTCGGCCGTGTCGTGGAACAGACACATCTTGATGCACTTTGCGATATCGAGCTGGTGTGCAAGAGACGGGGGCGGGACTGCTGCCATCATGGCCATCCTGCACGAGTGATCCGCGACCGATTCGCACCTGGATGAAGGTGAATATTAGCATTTTTCGGCATAACATTGTACTAGCGAGGAGGACCATGCCTTAGGATTCCAAACCGCAACCATCCCGCTCGCTTCGTGGTTTTGAGGCGCTCCAACAGGTGGAAGAAGGCAATAGGGGACGTTGAGCCCTCGGCGGGTCTGGAAATCGTCGCCAGCGCCTTTTCAACAGTCCAAGGGTCTGCCACCTTTACGGTCGTAACGATAGAGGGATCGACACCATCGCTGCCCTTGCCGCCCTTGGAATTGTTCGGTAGTATATGAGACATACTGGGAATCGCAGTTGATTGTTTGGGAGATGCTCCGCTTCGTCAATTGGGACACAGCCTTCCAATGGCGAGAAGTCCACGTGGGACCCACTTCTCAGTACCGCATTGGCCAGGTAACTCAGGGCTCTCAGTTCGGGCAATCGCGGGGTTGTCGACTCAACTCCGCATTCCTTTCTCAAGCACGCAAGATCATGGAGACCACCGTGTCTCCGTTGGACAGCTCACCGCTCCCATTCCTGCATTTGATACAGCAGCTCAAGCATCTGCCCCGAACTGGGTGGCTAAGAACGGTCGAGAACCCAGAGAGCGTCGCTTCCCACAGCTTTCGACTCGCATTGATAGGCTTGTTTGCGCCAGTCAGTTCGCATCCCCTAACCCCTATCTTCTTTGATACACTAACGATTTTTCTGTAGAAGGGACTAGATAGATCGAGGTGTATATTCCTAGGGCTATGCCACGATCTTGCGGAGTCGGTCGTTGGAGATATCCCAACGTATGCGGGTGTTCCAAAAGGTACGTGTAGCACGTTACTTCTAAGCCGTTACTTCTAGCTCTAAGCGACTAAAATGCATTTTAGAACAGAAGTACAAGCTCGAGCGCTCCGGTTTCGAATACATCGAAAGCTTGGTAAAGCCTTGCAACCCCGATCTCGCTCAAGAGATTATAGAGGCCTGGCTCGACTACGAGGAGGGAAGGACCCCGGAGGGCCGCTGGGTGAAGGAGATGGACAAGTTTGAGTGTTTGACCCAAGCCTACGAATACGAGCAACGGACCTACGGAGAGAAGGATCTACAAGAGTTTCAGGGCCTAGCGCCCAAGATCCAGTCCCCGGAAGGAAGGGAGTGGTTGAGCTTGTTGCAGGCAGAGAGGAAGGCCCATTTCGGGAAGCGGAACCGTCGGGTTCCCGTTATATTTGCCCCGGGCTTGCCTTCCGTTCTCGACGACCCCGTCCAGCAGGCTTTCGCCGCCGATGAAGCTTGGCTTCAGTGTCTCTTCTGGGAAAGCGCTATTCGAGAACGGTCTGAGGACCCTACATTCCTCCATGCTAAGTATCTCAAGCACTGCTTGGAGCAAGGGTTGCCCGTCCCGACAGACCTGGTCGTCAACATTTTGGATATGAAGATTGAAGAGGGCGCACGACAAGACAGGTGGACTCTGATTTGTGGGTTTCCAGCTAATATGGAATCTCTTGTCGAGTTCCAGAGAAAGGTTAAACTGATCTCACCTTTGTCTAAGCCTTTACTTACCTCGTTAGGTTCAAAAAAACAACTTCTCAGTATTCTTGTCGAGACCAGCGGCTCTCGATCCTAAGGTCGAAGAGGTTAAGCGACATCTTGCGTCGGAAAAAGGATATTTCCAAGAGGTAAGAGGCTTTTATAAGCTACTTCAACGATCAACTGCTAATAATAGTAGATACCTTCTAATGGACTACAAGATACCATATACAGCGATGTTAGGAATGTAGTTAAGGGCATTGTCAACCATTCCGAGAAGTAACAAGCACTGTAAAAATGGTACCTAACGTGGTTCATTGAGCGGCGCACCCCATTGAGTGGTGCACTTTTCCAGACCTCACCACTCCAAACTGTCAAAAGTCCACTAAAACCAGTGAAATCAATTGCAATTACTCGGATTCGCTTGAACTATCTATTTCTCCAACCTCTGGACATGTCCTTGCATTGTGGCCAGCCTTGCGGCAGATGCCACAGAGCCGCGAACCCGTCCGACGCCTCTTTAATGACCCTTCACTTTCCTCCTCGACATGCCCTCCTTCCTCAACCACACCCTTTTCTGCTATTATCTCCCTGGCCTGGCTGCCATTAATAGCACCTCCGTCTTGGAGACGCCTCCGTTTGGCTCTCCGGCGCTTGGAGAGTGCTTCGTTGGCCTCCTGGGGTGTCCGTACCTCGGCTTGTAAAAGGGTCACCTGGTGGGAAAATACTTGCAGCGCCTTCCTCGATACGGAAGCTTTGGGCCAGTTCGCGGCCACCTACGGCAAGGTCACCACCTGGACCCGACAAAAAGAGAGGAACATCTCAGTATAACTGGCCACGGAGGTTCCGTTTGCCAGTTAGTTTGCGCCGAATTGTGTTCAATTCGTAGACCCACTCAATGGTGGCAATGCCACCACCTAAGTGGGCCCGTTGCTGCCTTGACAACTCTCCTCTGCACCTCAGGCTTGCTGGCGATACAGATGCCGGCGTCTCATCTTCAAGCCTCTCATTACAGAACCAACATTGGTGCGATTGGGGCTTTCCTTCCAACTCCTTGTGCTTCCGAGTTCCACCTGCGCAAAGTCAAACACCATCAATCGCCCATCATTCAGTATTATGAAGTTGTCCAACTTTATCAGCCAGCAGCATGTCGGTTGAGTCATGGAGCTACATGGCGCACACTGCTGCGCAGAGGGAAGGTGACTTCTTCTTCGGAAAATCATTCGCATTAATTACATATGCATGCAGGAATAGTGAAGAAATGGTGCCAGTGCGAGTTGCCCAGCTCCGGGAGTCCCGTCCGGACGGGCTCCGCCTCCCGGCTCTCCACTCCGCGCCCCCGTGCGTCCATGCATTCTTGGCACACTCCGCTGCATGGCCCGGCCCGCTCCGCAACCCTGCGTTTAGCCGACTGACTCCACATTTTCGGGGAACAAAGCAGCCGGATGAGCTTGGGACCTTGCAATAGAAATCGAGGACGTCTGGGTCTCGGGGTTTCGCACGCACTAATCTCACGACACTCGCTCCGAAGCCGCCATATCCCGTTCCTGGCCTTGAAAGCGTCGGGATACAACACGTGCTTTGCTCCGATTTCGTTCTCAAAAGGCAAATGAGTATTGTGCAAAATCTCACCGCGCTTCACTGTCCTCAATGTGAGCTCTTGAGTCGCCTGCTCGTCGATGTTGCAAGCATGTCCGGTAAGAGGACGTGGGAAGGTTGGCAGGCCCACTCAGGAGGCACTGAGTGGGTCTGCCAACAGACTCCAATTGGCTCTGAAGCGAATGCAAACGGAGCGCCCAGCAGCCAGCCGAGCCACCTTCGAAGCATCCAGCACAGGACCACTAACTCGTTCACACCTGCAGGCGTGACCGGGTGCAGGAACCCCCCTTAGGTAGTAGTACATTGCTGCCTGCCAGCCTGCGTTGAGTTAGCTTGTTGGCCACAATTCATTGAAGTTCCAAGTTGCCTTGCACGTCTGGCTGCTGCGTGGAAGGAGACCAATGCTCTGCTCAACAATGATCGGAAACAGGAAGGATTCCTTGACAGTGGGCGGTGCGGACCCACCACGGGACTAACCGGCTGATCCCGCGGTGGGGTTCTGGTCTTGGCGCCAACGCCTTCCTGTTGGATGGCTCGTCTCTCTCTCGCTCTGCCAAGCCGCAATATCCAACGGCCCATCATGCCGTCGCCTTGCCGTCCATTTCTCGTCGAGCCTTGCTGGGGGCTTCGACGCACGTGTGTATGGATGGCAGTGGCCAGTTCAACCGGTGAAGGCCGCCCAATACAGATTGATCAAATCTTGGCTGGTCGCTCCACTCACGGGCCTTGCATTGCAAGTATTCATAGACTGCGGGTGATTGCCCTGCCCAACCAACCACGACTCAGATTAGAGCACCATCTTATGTGTCATGCCCGACAAATGTGAGCTGCGTTTGGCAGCCTAATCAGGCAGCATCTGGAGCTTGCATCCATTTCATGCCCTAGATATGCCCCTTCAGACGCATGCATGCATCCTGGGTGATATTGACCTCGAACTGCATGTGACAGCGACAGTTCCCCAGCTTCACCAGAATTTGGGCAGCCTTGGCATTCGGCATGAAAAGGCCAAGAGGAATTTGTCTGGTCATCGGATCGGTGATCGGATCGGTGCGCGAACCACTTTCCAGCGACGGGAAGGCAATGGAGGTTGGCCTGGATTGCTCAGCTGCAGGATATATAACAGTGGTAAGTACTCTCCAAAGGACGAAGACAAATGAATTAATTCGTTCCCAGCGGTTAACATCGTCATCTCCAGCCTCCAGCTCTACCCAACTACGATATCTCAGAATACCTTCTTCCAATAACCAAGTGCAATGCCCTACCTGCAAGGTTGTCTACGGTCAAGGCCAGTCCCACACTTGCCAAAAGTGAGATACAGCGTCCTGCGACAAACACCGTAGGTGGGATCCCTAACAGCAGATTTCACGTAAGGGTTGATACTAACACTTTCTTAGCTCTATATAGAATGGGCGAGATGAAGTATAGCTGGTGGATTCAAAATGCAATGTCAATTGAAGTCTTGGAACTCTGATTGAAGTGACGGCGAGGGAAAAGGCACAGATCCCAATGTAGTAATTGATGGAATTTCCTTTGACCGGAACGTGTGCAGCAAGTTAATCCTCTTCGATATCGGTGAAGTTTGTCATTCCTTCCAGTAGTGGTCCTCGGTCGTTGACCTCCCGCCCTGGTCAGCTGCCATGACCTCCTTGTGCCCTGATATTATCACGTGTAAACAGGATGGATACGGTTGGGTTCCCACCCTCAACGGGACGAACCATGACAGGGGTATGGTTAGATAGGAGATGAGGGCTTGGCAAGCCCCGATGCGGGGCTTGCCCCTGGCCTGTGCGCAGGACCTACCTGCAGGTTTGCCCTGCGCCTTGCACAGAGCCAGTTTGGTTCCCTCGCAGAACCACCACAATATACAGGCATACTCAACATTGGCCTCTATCACCCGTGATAACTGACCCCACCACTGCATTCTCTTCCCTACAGCGTTCCCTCCAGTCTACTCCTTGCACAACCACGCAGATCACACGGTACCTATATTGTTGGCCTCCCTCACTCCTGTGATATCCTTCTATATCTATTGTGCAACAAACCCCCGGTGACAGGCCGGGGTGGATGGAGAACAAGTAAGCCACGTGGTCACATGGGTCTTCCGCAACGATTTGCCAATGATTCCCACTACCCTCATCTCTCCTGCTCTTCACATTTCCAAGCTCTGCAACGACTTACGAGAACTTACTACTAGGTGCCGCAATCTCTACTCTCGATGCGAACAATGCGGAACTCGCTGAATCTGCCGAGCAGGCGATGGACTTCTTTCGATGGGTGGGACTACAACGGCATGAAAGAACGTTTGCAGACAGCGCTGGATAACATCGACAAGCCTGCGCTTCTGCGCCATGCTGAGCGTATCAAGGGGCAGAAATTCATCATGAGCGAACCATTCTCGGCCGGCCAGTATTGGATCTGTTTCGAAATGATTGCCGAGGACGACAGCCTGGTTATTGCCCGGGTCCGCTTACCTCGCCATCCCGATGTAAGGTGACACACACAAGCTCACCAAGGAAGATGCACCGAATCCTCAACAAGCAGCAGGCAAGACGACTGTATTGTGCGTGCACCCCTAACCAACTGACTGATCCTTGAGAGAGGGAAGTTCCAAGTTCCAATCTGAGTCTCCTGCTCTCCAGATATCCTCTCTCTGCTGCGAGTCATGTCGCTGCGCCATGAAATCCACAGTGTCTCGCCCGCCGATTGCCCAAGTGTAGGGCTCATGGTGGGGGCCCTGACAATTCATCTCCCCCTTCCATGCGACTCGACCTCGAGTCGAAACTAAGACCTCTCTGCAAAATGCTGTGTGTGCACAGACCTTCGCACCCACGGTATTCCTCCAGCGAACCGCTGCCTTTCCAGCCTTGTTTCCACAAGCATCACCATATCACCGTGGTTGTCCCTTCCTATGCGTCGCGCCTCTCTTTTCCCCAGTCTCGCTACGCATCCGCTTCGTCTGCGCCGTCTTAGACTTCTACCGCCTCGTCGTCGTAACAGTGTTGCTTCGTCTCCTCTTCGCTGATTTCTCGTCTTCCTGCCATCCCTGGGCCTTCCGTTGCGACCTCCTGAACAGGGTGATCAGTTGCTGCGCGTTTTGCATGTCTTCTTCAGGGACCCATTGGTTGAACTCTGAGGGCCATCCTTTCCACTTGACCCAAAAGAATGTTTCGCCGTCAATTCGGCGCTCGTCGCGCACCTCTTCGACTTCCCACTCCTCGTCATCTTCGAGATCTGGCATTGGCATCTGCTCCTGGCCCTGAACTTGACCATGCCAGGGTTCCAACAAACTGACAGGGAACACGTCGTGAACTCGCGAATATTGCTGAGGCAAAGCTAAACGGTACGCTAGCGAACCAACACGTTCCAACACCCGAAAAGGTCCGATGAACTTGGGCGTCAACTTATGAGGGGTCTTCAACTTCAAGTTGCGAGTGGACAGCAGAACTAGCTGCCCCTTGCTGAAAGCTTGGGGTTGGTGTCTTTTGTCGTAGTATCGCTTGTGATTCGCTACCGCTTCGGCCCAATGCTGTTCCAACTGCGTTCTCAACACTTGCAACTTCTCAATCCTCTCTGCTGCGTTGGGGTGTAGCTGTTGTAGCTGTTTCCCCCTCTCTGAAGCATCGCCCTCGATGCGCTGGGAGATCGTCGGGTGGTACCCCATTAATGCGAAGAAAGGGGTCATGTTCGTTGTGGCGTTGAGGCTATTGTTGCAAACGAACTCGGCTTCTGGAAGAATGGTTGCCCAGATTTGAGGGTTCTGATGGGCGTAGCAACGGAGGTACTGATCCAATGTCTGGTTCATACGTTCGGTTTGCCCATCGGTTTGCGGGTGAAATGCCGTTGAGAGCTTCCGATGTACCTGGTTTAAGTAGCATAAATCACTCCAGAATTGGGAGGTGAAGACTGAACCTCGGTCACTGACGCAGCCATCTGGTACGCCATATTTGAGCTCGATCTCCTTATGGACGAGCTCTGCGAGCTCCTGGCTTTTAATGCTCGAAGAGACAGCGAAGAAACGGCACATCTTGGTATATCTATCCACGATAACGAGGACAGAGTCTCGTTCAGTGCCGTCGACTATCACCGCGGGAAAACCAACGATGAAGTCCATGCTGATCTCACTCCAGGGTCGCTGAGGAATCGGCAGAGATTCAAGACTGCCGTAAGGACGATGTCGTTTTGACTTATTTTGCTGGCAAACTGCACATTCTTTGCAGTGGTCTTTGACGCTTTTGGTGATGCCCAACCAATAGTACTTCCTTTGAAGGAGTTCAAGCGTCTTCTGAGGGCCAAAGTGACCCGCCAGCGGATCGTCATGATAACGACAGAGCAACTCTTGTTTGAGTGCTTCTTCAGCAGGCACAAATAGTTTGCCTCTGAACAATAATTCGCCGTCTTGTCCGAGAGACCAACCCGCAGATTCGCTGGGTTCTCGCCTGGGATTCTTCAGGCGTTCTTTGATCTTGTGTGTCACTGGATCTGTCTCTTGAATCTCAAAAATGAGCTCACGCATGGACTTTGATGGGTCCAGCGTATAAACTGCTTCAAGCTCCGCCATCTTTTCGGCGCGCTTTCGAGACAGAATTGGCTTCTTTTGCCAACTTGTTCTGACCATGCCGCGGGAATTCATTGCTTCCACTTTTAACGACTGGACAGTGACCACTGGACGATTTGAGCCCGAATTAGCGGCGTCCCGCTTGCAGACTTCCTCTGCATTCTCCAGCTTGTTCTGGAGACTGGGCATCCATTTCAAGCGCTCTTCTTGCGCATCGTCCTCATAATCAGGTCTTCTCGACGGCCCATCGGCTGGGTTTCGTTTGCCCGGCTGATGTTTGATGATGAAGTCAAACCCTGAAAGGTACATGCACCACCTGGCTTGTCTGCCATTCAAGTGGTTTTGCTTCATGAAACCCTGGAGATTATTGTGGTCCGAAAGGACAGTGACTTGGTGGCGATTTCCCTCAATGTAGTGGCGCCAATGCTTGAAGGCTTCCACGATCGCCATCATCTCCTTGTCAGGGGTTCCATAGTTCTTAGTCGACCCAGAGAACTTAGCCGACCAGAATGCCACAGGGTGCTTCTTGCCATCCTCGCTTTTTTGCGAGAGTACTGCTCCCATTGCAAAATCGGAAGCATCTGTCTCAATGACCACCGGCTTCTCGGGGTCGAAATGGCGTAGTAAAGGAGCGTCTCGGTATGCGTTTTTGAGTTGCTGGAAAGCCGCTAGTGTTTCGCCTTCGAGTTGGACCTCTCCTGGTTTTCTTCCCTTCTCTAGCCCCTTTAGCAAACTGGTCAGGGGTAAGGCAATGTGGGAGTAATTGTGGATGAATCGTCGGTAAAAATTGCAGAAACCCAAGAAAATCTGGATCTCGCGAAAAGTTCGAGGTTCCGGCCAATCTTCAATGGTCTGAATTCGCTCAGGATCCATAGCGATTCCCTCGCGATTCACCACGTAACCGAGGAAGTCCACTTGGTCCTTATAAAAGGAGCACTTAGAAGGCTTGCAGTAGAGCTGCGCTGCCCGAAGCCTGGCGAATACCTGGCGAAGATGTTGGGTATGACTGTCTCGGTCCTTGGAAAAGATCAAGATATCGTCCAGGTACGCGATACAAAACTCATCCAATAAGCCCCCCAAGGCTTGATGAATATAACTCTGAAAAGTGGCTGGAGCGTTGGTCAACCCAAAAGGCATAACCAAATACTCAAACAAGCCGTATCGGGTTCGAAACGCTGTCTTCCATTCGTCCCCTTCCTTGATTCGGATCCTGTAATAGGCGTCCTTGACGTCTAACTTTGAGAAATAATTCGCACCAGCAGCGCGGTCAAGGATCTCCGAAATCAGGGGTAAAGGGTAGCGATTCTTCACCGTGATTTTGTTGAGTCCCCGGTAATCTACACATAAGCGCAGAGAACCGTCTTTCTTAGGAACAAATAAGATGGGGCTTGCCGCTGAACTCTGAGAAGGTCTTATACGGCCTTTCGCCAGGTTCTCGATAAGATATTCGCGAAGAATAGACAGCTCATGTTGAGACATTGGGTAAATGGGGCCAACAGGAGGTGTAGTTCCTGGTTGAAGTACAATCTCATGATCCGTGTTTTTAAACGACGGCAAAATGTCAGAATTGCAGATATCCAACACATCCTTAAAATCAGATAACTCCGGAGGAATCTCTTCGCCTCCCTTTTTACAGGGTTTCGCCTCCTCTTCATCAGGAAACAACTCAGTAGGCACGTCTGGATGAACAAACAGAGCGTAAACTCGTGCCTCCTTTCGACAGATTTTGTTGAATTTCTTGGGGGTAAGCAGGCGAACTTTCGCCGACTCGGCAATGAACCACCAACTGTTCAATCCAGGGTAGAGGAGGATGTCCAGCATCTTCAAAGCTGGAATACCCAGTAACACAGGAGACTCGCCCTCAATCTCAGGCCGCTCCACTGCAACACATGGGATTTTGGCTTCCTTCGTAATCCCCTGGTGATCAGTAAGAGACAATGGAACTTCAAAGACTCCGTAAATGATCGCATAACGCTGATCCATGAAGCGAATCAATGGCGAATCGGCACTGAGCCACTTGAGCTCGTGCCTTCGCACGAAATCAATGCTCACAACATTGGTCTCTCCGCAGCTGTCAAGGTCAACGTGAATAGGGGTAATACAATGCGTAAGGAGAGATGCTTCTGCGTGGAGTCTTTCTTCAACAAGACTCTCTTCTTCGAATGCCCCTGAAAGGAGTTCATCCGTGGTAAGGGGCTCTCCCACGGTTAATGGCCGTTTCCCTGTCGACTCGCCCGGCGTCCTCGGTACCCGCCCCGGTTGTACCCGCGGTACTGGGATACCGATTTGCCTTTGTCTGGGCACACATTCGCTAGGTGTTCGGTACTGTTGCAGATGTAGCACCGCAAGATGTGGCCTGTCTGTGGAGAATGGTCTGGACTGTCATGCTTCTTGGCAATATCCACAGACTTAGTGTCGTCATGAGTGTCGTCATGAGTGTCGTCATGAGTGTCGTCGTCATGTCTGCGTTTGCCACGACCGAAAGAGGGGTAATGACATCCTCGACTTCGAAAACGTTGACGATGCTCTCCCGAGTGCTGGGTGTCTGAAAATGGGTTCCCTTTCTTCATATGCTGAAAACTGTGCCAGATTTGAGTGGCGATTTTGACCATTCCTTCACGGTCCTCAGGTCGGTTGGGAACGTAGAGATCGATATGGTGGATAATCGCTGGTGAAAGCTTGGAGTAGAAGTCGAGAGCTCGTTGCTTGTCGTCCTTACGTGGAAACTGATCTTCCAGAGACTCAAGATATTGGTGGAACTCAAGGGGTGACTGGCCGTCTTTTTGGCGAGCGTTGTTGAGTTGCTTGGCCGCTGTTGATATCTGGTCGGCAAGGTCCTTGACGCACTCCTTGGTCCATTCCTCGAAGTGATTCCAATCGTTTTCGGCCTCGACGCGCTTGTCGTTCGACAAATTGCCGCAATGGCTGTACCAGCGGTTTCGTTGCTGCTCGTCCATGTTGTCGAGGGCAAAGAGTATCTTGTTGGCGTCGTTGTTGAA